CCGTATGCCTGTGTTTTTTTTTTTTTTTTTTTTTTCCTTCTCTGCATATTAACATCAGAAGCGGTTCCTCCCGCAAGGTTGCGGATTTTCAATCGTGGCTTGCTCACGCGATTCAGACCGACTGATGCAGCCCCACAATCGGTGCTCGGCGTCTCCACGGACAGCCAGGGACGTCTTGGAAGTCCGAGAATAAGCTTAGGAGGAAGTGTGTTGTCCCAGTTTTTTTTTTTTTTTTTTTTTTTTCTGACAAAATTGCAATGTCTACTAGGACCTTAATGATCCTTCAGTTGGACCGCTCTGGAGAGGAGGAAACGAAATTCAGGCGGCAGAGCCTGTCGACGGTTCCCATCACTAAGCATGTTTTCCTGCGGTGTACATACATATAAGCCAAAGTTCTGTGCTGGCATCACATGCAGCATGCCGAAGGCTTCCTCCCCACCAGAGTGCGGAGAGGATATTTGCCATCTCTCTCGGAGCGAGGATTGTGTTTTAACGACAAGTAATAAGGCGCAGACTTGAGGATTCCCAGTTGGGCCAGCACCTGAGCATCACTCCCAACTTGACTGGCCCAAGCACGCGTTGGAATGATGAGACAGTCGTCTGAATTTCTGGCGCTTTGTTGAAAATGATACTCCGTAGTGTTGTCTTGGACAACGCGCGACGCATGGCAGTCCGTAGTCAAGGTTGCGCCATGCAACATTTGCTTGAATGGATCGCTACGGCGGGACCGGACATCAAAGCGGACTTGCAGGGCAAGGGGCGGACTTTCCCTGTGGCACCACGCTGTTGTGGTGGAAGGCCCCGCTTACTAAAGCTTACAGGCAAGCACGCAGCTTGGCAGTTCCATGTTGGCAAGAGCACTCCATCTCAATTGCAGTCACAAGACAAGTCGACGTTCAGGGGTTTATCTCAAGCACTGCGTCCTCCGTAATTCCCGGCACCTGGACTGCCCTCCCATCTCGAGGCCCCTGCGCCGTGGTCTCCGCAAAAAAGCGGCAAGTCCCCTTTTTCCGAACATCTACTCGTACTCAAGTATATCTCCATGCCAATGCTCTGGTTCTCTGGCTCCGCGAGCAAGGCCATTCTCGACCAACGAAAGCACTCTGCCGCAAAAGTCGTGTGGTTTGCGCCATCATACTGCTTGAGGAGTAGGGCCATGCCGGACTGAATCATTACCTGTCATACGTACTCCGTATCGCACTCGCTTACTACCTCAGAACGTAAGCTGACCAGACGTCAATATTCCAGCCAGCTGGGCCCATCTCTTGTGGCTCAGTACCCGCCGCCACCACCATCTCTCACCACCACCAGACCCTTTCGACCCCTGTCGCATGCGCCGGCAAGCTCGGGAGGAGGGGCATCGTCGAACATCATGCATTATTATCGGGTCCCCGAGCCATAATAAGAATTCTATGTCGCCCGGCAAATCGCTGTCCCATGCACCCTGCCGCAGGACGACGGCGACGCTGCCGAAAACCTTCATTTAAAAGCACACTTGACACGGCACTCGTCCGTTTTGCTTCCCTCCTTGTCGGGGATCCCAAAGGGCGTTGCCGCTTCAGACCGAGTATTACAAAGGACTGTTCGCATGTGTGACAGCCTCCCTTGCTGACTTGCGTGTACGACGCTCGATTTGCTGTCACCTTACGGAGTACCTACAGCCTGGATCCTTACCACCCACGCTGCCTTCCCATTTTGCTTCTCTTGATTGATATGCGGGCCTTATCGACACCTAAATCCAACTTGCCTTCTGCTTCCACGCCACGGCATCTCTAGTAACTAGATTCACCCCTTCAGCGGCTCACCGAAACGCCTGTTTTTGCCCTGGATGCATCGTGGCTGGTCCCTTTGCAGTGTCCGAGATTATCTTGTACAACCCGATCCACCACCTCAGCAGTTCCTCGTCGTCCTCCCTGCAATTTAATCGCAAGCCTGAGTCTCTCCTTCTGTCTATTCTACTTTCACCTGCAGTCGGTCATTGCTGCATCACGACGCTCGTTGCGTACCGAACACCACGACTGATTTCCTCCACCCTCACTTCTTCACTCGACGCGACGAACCATCTAGTCACCAGTGACATATCACGAATTCACATGACGCCAGTCCCTTTCCGTTAGTTGTGTTCAGGAATCAGAATATATTGAAACGCCATGTTTCTCCATTCTGGAGCTAGTTTACACGGTCACGAATATTCGATTAAGAGGTCGACGTCTGCGCCATTACAGCCACCTCGAAGACTGCCCATACTAAAGTCGACCCTCCGGCCGCTCGCCTCTCCTTCTGAACCGAGCGACACGGGCTATTTTCCTTCACCATACTCTGAAGGCCTACAGGCCACGCTCAGAGCATCGACCGACGGGGCCAACCACCCCCCATCATCATTATTGCGACAACGCGCGGCCTCCAACAGCTACACTAGGAAAGATCTTGCGGTTAGATTTCGTGAGCCCGGAATGGACCATATATATACGCCATCTGCTAGCGAGGATGAAGAATCCATAGCTGGGCCAGAGCTTCTGGACGGTCTCTCCGACTCCCCAGCACGCCGTAAGAAGCGCAGACGATTACTTCGCAAGTCGACCAGGTATGCTCTCGCCCAACCAGCACCGCAGCTTCGTACCAAGCAGAGACGGCTTCTTCAGATCCGGCCTCGATTACTGTTACAACTCCAAGAAATTGGCGACAGAAGAGCCATTCCTGCCTTTGACGTAATTCCATCTCAACTAGTGGCAGGAACATTGATAATACCTAAATTGTCCAAAAGATTTCCTCGCATGTTTCACGCAAATGCTGAGCTAAACCAGAATGATGTCCTGTTGGTTCGTAGCGAAGATTACGGTTCAACATCGAGAGTAGCACCAGAAAGATCTGATGATGACAGACGGAGTCTACACGGCAGAGATATTTGCGCTGTCATTAGTGCTCTGCCAGAAGATTGCGATAACTCAGCGGAGGTTGTTCTTGAGGACGGGGTCCCCTGGTATGGTTCACGTATGGCGAATGGCTCATATGAATTCACCAGAACAGATGACGACGGTGAAACAACCACTGCACGCTGGGTTAGACGGTCTAATGGCTCTACCCGCAATAGTATTGGCTCATTCGAACCGTCCTCTTCAGCGCGGTCTAGCGTCCAAGATTCCTTGCCTGACTCTAGATGGACGTTCAGTATCATGGACCCTTCTTCGAGGAGGCATCCCATAATGGGTAGCTTGACATCAGAAACGGTCGAGGTGTATGATCATTACACAACATTGTCAACTTCCAGTGGTCGGTTTCCACCGACCCGGCCATTCGGGCCGGAAGTGGAAGGGGTCGACCGGAGCCCGTCTCCCGCAGGTTTCAATCAAGAATCGAGGGCGACACTTGAAGTTCTCCCGGAGCAAAAGGTGTTGATGATCGCTACCGCGAGTTGGATTCGACTTCATCAACAAGGTTGGCCCGCCTCTGCGAATCCCAAGTTTGCGAGACCAATCTCGTCTCATCGCCGGTCGGCAAGCGCAAACATGTGCTCTACATCACGACGACGAACTTTTCCATCTTACGATGGAGACAGCTCTCGTGCGACGAGCCCAATCAATCTGTCACAGCCACCAGACAGCATACATGACCCATCGCTGTCAAAACGGCCATATGAAAAAACGATGCCAGCGAGAGCAATGTCTACTGGAAGAGCCTTTATGAAGCGAAGGAGTGACCGGATGGAGGGCCTGGCAACAGTACATAGTCAAGAGCCGCCAAGGCCGGTACGCGATGCAGAGAAACAAGGCACGCAGCAGGAGGAGAAGGCTGGTTGTCTGAGCAGAATACGGCAGTGGACACACAAGTTGTTGCACAGGAGGCGAGAATCGATAAGATGAGGACATACTACGAAACATGTGGACGAGAGGAAGACCGGAGCTGCTATTGAATGGTCAAGCTCCCTGTACATATTCATGCATAGCATCTTAGCATTATTGTATACCCAGCTAGTTCGATGGCTTACTCTGTAACATACATAAACATCACGAAACTCCTGTTTTTGACCCAATGAAGATATCAGACCTAATGGTACACATTCTTGAGCACTCAAGTACCTAGGTACCTACCGGTAGGTAGAAGCACAATGCGTTGTCGAGTAATTGGCGACGGATGGAAATTTTATCCCCGTGTTTTTCACGTTCAATCTCTCGTTGGGCACTCCTCAAGTTCAATGTTTCAATGTTGGTTGGTCCGGATGCTCAAGTGCATGTGCATGTGCATGTGCATGTACTTTTCTTCCGTTGGCCGGAAGATGGAGTCTTGGTTGGATGAAGCAAGTTTGCAAGCCAAATGCAACTGCAACTGCCAACTGCCACAATTAATGGGTCTCGTACGGGCGGTTCGGCGCTCCGATAAGTCGTGGGCCGTGCAGGTGGCCGCAGCCCTCACGTACGGAGGAGGTGTGGAGCCTTTGCAAACTTTCCGGGCATCCTGGAGGCAGCCACACGCACACGACGCCCGGGGAGGGGTTGAGGTGACAAGACCGGGACAGTTATTCGATCTTGAGCACGCGGGCACTTGGCGATTGGCAACTTAGTCCGGAGTATTTGTGTTCGACTTGATGTTCTGGTCTGTGCATGGTGATTGAAGAAGGGCATCTTCCATGAACCGGCCACGCCTGCAGGCTGCCACGAGCTGATGTGGACCCTCCTCTGCCATCTGGCCCATCTCGTGGAGACTGCCGATTCACCCAGGCTTGGGTAGAAACGGGGTGATGTTGTTCAGATGATGTATACTGTATACGGAGTACTCATTAGCTGCCCAGTTTTCACGGAAGCCAACAGACTTGGGGTCGATATCCGTTAGCAGGCAACCGTCCTTGTACGTTGCCTCGCCGCCTACAGGGTACTTTGATTCCTTCCTCAGCTAGCCGCAACCCCTTGCTGCATCAGCCACTTAACTACTTTAGAGTCTACTGGGATTGATTATTCATAAAGTTGAGAGACAGCTGGAAAATCCACCATCCACCGCATCTTTGCGTTTCTGGCCGTTGCAAATTCTATGTTTGCTCTGCTCTTGTTGTTCTGGCGGTGTTTGCTGGTTTGCTCCTTCCTCAAAACGCACAGGCCAGTCTCAGTACATTTTAAGGAGTACCCACAAGGTCTGGTGATCAACACCCTGAGAACCAGAACACCCATCCGGTCAGTCAGTCAGTACATGCAGATAAGTACGCAGTACTGCAAGCACCAACGTCGAGCTGGCCTTGCTGCTGCCGCCCTCACTTGGAAGCAGCACGTCCGCCCAGGTTGCTCTGCCCCAACCCACCCAGTCAGATCGGTTCCTGCCCACTAGGTCAACTAGGCTGCTCACCGTAATCGTGGACCATCGACGCCCGATAACTAAGCTGCGATCTGCTCCGTACCCCATCGCAACCATTGTCGCCGTTCCATGAGCTGTGGCGGGCGAGACGCATCCTTTTATCCTTCATTCTTCCCAGCACTATTACTACTCCTCCGCAGCATCTAGTCTTGACAGACCCTTTGTCCAGTTTGCATCTTAGGCCCTCCGGGTCCTCGTTTGCGCGACGCACCCAGAAGAACAGCGGGCGAATACATGATGGATGAGAATATCGGGCTGCAACATGAAGGCCCATTGGCAGCCTTGTCCGCCTCATCCGCCGCTCATTTACTGAGCAACTTTCATCCTTACGAACCCATCTCCCGAGCCACGTCGCCAGGCATCCCTTGCCCCAAGGCTGACGAAGACGACAAGAAGCGTTATCGACCCCGGACGTTTGCCTACTTTCAACAGCTTCCATTCGACGTCGAAGAGGAACAACAACGCGATGCGGCGCTACGGGGAATTCTGAAACAGCTATACATTTCCATCAAGGCCGAGGACTTCTCTCCCGGTGCCTTGCATTGGACCAGAGAGCTACAAGCATGGCTTGCCCTCAAGTTCGAGATGACGAGGGAACTTCGAGCCAAGCTCGCAAAGCTTTATTACTCTCTGGCGCTGGCGCCGGGTTTGGATTCAAATACTGCAGATCGCTTTCTGCGCATGGTTCTCACATTAATCAGGTAGGTACCAATGCATCTGACGGCAGGTCCATGGTGCAACCAGATAGTTTACCCTGCCCAGCGTGTGTTACACGAGTTTGATGCTGACACCGACTTTTTCTATCGCAACAGGAAGAATCACTATCTCAAACCAGGCGAAGACCTAACGTTCGATTGGAGACCAATATGGCACGAGGTCAAGGGCATCGTTTTGCCCTCCGAAGGCCCCTCGCTTCAAAGTGGGCGACGACGACCTGCTAAGCAACTGCTGAAGCTGTGTACTCACGCTCATACCTATTTCGACCCAAGAGATCGGCCGACCATGCTCGAAGAGTTCCTGCCTTTTTTCAGCATAAACGACATGCCCAATGCATTCATCGTCTTTGGCCTTATAAACACATTCCTTCCTAGCCACCCTGCGCCCGAGAAGGACATTGCTGCCCAACCACAGGAGTTTCTTCCGACCATCTTCCACCTTTGGTCCATCATGAGTAGATCGAAAGTCGCTGATATATGCCTGATCGATCTATTTTCTCGACTCGCGCGCGATCATGTTCACTGTGGCCATGTTCCATTCGGGGCGCATGGCATCTTCACCAAAGCCCAGTCTGACCTCATTTTCACCTCCATCTTGCGCCTCACGCAAATTCCCGTTGGGCAGGCTAACTCCCCTTACACAGCCCTCGATTATTTGGCAGGCGCAGGGGCTTATCTGGAGAAGGATTCAAAAAAGCATCCCGTGCCCTACATGATGGCCCGACTGATTGTCAGCTCCCTTTCGCCAAGTTGTATGGACCAGGATGACTCAATCATGGCAAGCTTGGAAGGCTTGATGGAATCAATTGACACGTTTTTCCATCCTTCTAACCAAGGCTCGTGGACCAACATGCTGGGGCAACTCACTCTGTATCTCACTGATGCATTCGTGTCGCGGTGGAATCGTGAGCAGAGCGGCGAATTAGAACTTCCCAAAGAGCGAAGGATAAGCCCTGCTTTGAAGAAGCGGTTTGTTGGCTCGCTGAAGGAGGTCACATTTATGGGACTCTTCTCCAAGAGCAATAGGGTATCGAATTGCTATTATAATGCACTTCAGGGCCTCGCTTACCTTGAACCCGACCTGGTTCTTCCGGGTGCGTTGCAGCGTTTTTACCCCAGTCTCCAAGGGCTAGTCGAGGTCCACAGAACTACCTCTAGTCTGAACAGCTTGCAAATGATTGCAAATGTCATGTCTAAGCTCAAAGGTTATAGATGTCACATCACTGCTTTGCTTGCATTGGCCTTGCCGGGTATCGACGCAAACGATCTCAACAAGACGCAGTATACCCTCAATTTCATCCAGAGTGTAGCATATAGCATTCCGTTTGTGGAATTGACAAAGGAAGAAACCCATATTCATGACACAACACTAGCAATGCAATGGGTTCAGGCCGAGATGGACAGGATGGAGCGGGATGGCCAAAACGTGCAGATCGATTATCAAAAAGAGCTTAGTGACGAGGATGAGGCCAACATCTTACGATCCTCGACTGCAGGTTTCGGAGAATTCATCTTGACTCTTTTGGGCAAAGTCTTTACACTTCTAGAGAATCTTCCAGATGCAAACCAGGTTCGAGGAGGAACCCCAGAGGATAATGTCGTCAATGCATTGCCGGCGGCTTTGTCACCACTTTTCGCATCTCTCTCGCCAGATCTGTTTGATATGGCCCTCGAAAAGATTGCCACCTTTGTGTCTAGCCACGTGGTTCACCAGGCCCGCGATGCCATGGCGTGGATATTGAATGCGCTCTGCAAAGTCAACCCCGAAAAGACACTCAAGGTCTTCGTTCCCATGTTTGTCATCAACATTCGCAATGAGATTGACCAGAACCATGCCGCGTCTGATCGTACTACTGGTACCGACTACCTCCCACGTGATAGAGCCTTGGTGTGGCATATAAGCATGCTCGCCATGACAGTAGTGCACGTCGGACGGGAGGTTCTGAATTACAAGGATGAGCTTCTTGGAATTGCAGTCTACATGCAGGAAAAATGCCGCGGCTTGCCCACTATTTTGGTCTCCAACTACATTCATCATCTGCTGCTTAATCTAACCAACACATATCCCATTGACCATGCCCTCTATGAGCCTGACGTTATTAAAAGGGGATTGGATATTGATGACTGGGGTAAGACGACATCGCCCGCCGATCTCACCATTCGATGGCATCAACCGTCACCGCCAGAGGTCGAATTTGCCGTCGAGCTATTTGCCTCGCAAACGAAATCTGCGACAGAGCAATTGGAGCTTCTCTTCAGCGACAACCCGCCTGTTAGCAGGACGGGGAAAAATAAAGAGTGGTCTGATGAAGTTTCCAGGCTGATGCAGCAGATGCGTCTAGTCATTTCTGGCATGTCCACCATGTTCGATCCCAAGCGCGCCTCAGGCAACGGCAACGAAAAGTTGAGCAATGGCAACGGTGGGGACGGCGATGTCGAGATGGGCGATGATGATGAAAGCTTGGCTGAGGGGGCCGAGGATGAGGAGCTGCGACCACAGTTTCGTTACAAAGCCGGGTATCTGCTGAAGTCAGATGACCCAGTGTATGGGCGTATTCATGAGCTCCGTGAACAGCTTGGTCACCTGCTTTCTAAAGCTCATTCATTCCTTAGCGAGAACCAGGAGGATGATGTTACCTGCTCCACCGCATTATGCAACGCATATCGGACCTGGATTACTGATGTTGGGATCGAGCGTTCTGCACACCCACTTGAGCGGCATCTTAGGTTGTACAAGGCCGACATTGCCGCCTTTAAGATAAAGGGACTCCGCAAGGTCTATCCGCGCCCTCTGTTGATAAAGAGGGCCGAGGCCTACCAGTTATTGCGCATGAAGCACAACGCATCAGCTCGGCACAAGAGCGAACTTGATAGACGCTTGTTATTGGATTTGGCCAAGTCATGTCAGTCATTGTACGCTGACGTTCGCCGGGCAGCCCAGACAGCACAAGACTCCTCGCTCAAGGTCCTCATAGGTGGCAAGCCGCTAGTTGTGCCTGTGGTTCTTGAGGGATTGCGAAAGGCGATTGAGGCCAATGATCACGATCGTATCAAAGGTGGCATGTACACACTATTCTTCACGTCACTACTTAGGACTATCGTGCGAGACTGGCGGTTTGCGCCTGATGCAATGTCTCTCTACATTGAGACAGCGGGCATTGACAAGCCATCCATACAAAATTTGGGATCGTCAGCTCTGTACTCTCTCATTGAGTTTGGTAAAGCCAATGAAGGATTGATACTCTTAGATGATGCAGTTCTCAATGCCATCCGACCGTCCGAGAACGCTGATGATGCCATCGATAACCGCCACAGGGTCATCTTGGAGAGGAGAAAGAAGATCGAGACCGCAAAGGCGGCTTTGGGATTGCAGCTCACAAATCGAGCAAAGGGAGCACACTGGAAAATTGCAACCAGATGCGCCATTTTCGCCCTGAACTTGTGCCTTCGCTTTGACGATCTTGCCCCCGCTGAGTTTGTCGAACTGGTGGCCAACGGCGCTATTGATCCTCATCCAGGCCTCAGAGGCTATTACCTGAATGCGTTCACGTCCCTGCTAGGTGCCATTGACATGCGAGCCGTGTACGGCCATGATTACGCCAACTATCTCATGGAGAAAGAAATTGGTAATAGGAACAGGATCGATGTGCCCGTTGAAAAGGGAGATGCTGAGTTTACTCGCAACTTCTTGGAAGCCTTCAACAAGCCCGAAGCGGCGGAATACATGGTTGATTCCGACCACCCTGGATGGCTCGTCTGGGGTAGCAAGTTTACCGCATTCCGTGCCCGCCCGCTACCTTTCGATTCTTATGACGAGCTAGAGAGAAATGTGCGCCGTCAAATCGGCAATATTCTAACAAAGGAATGGATTTCACAGTGTTTCGAGTACCTCAAACAAGAGCCCCGGGATCAGTCCACTGACAGGTTCCGAATGAGCAATGTCTACCTTTTGATGCATGTTTTTGATCTCACATACTACGGCAGCACAACGGTCACCCTGGATGAAATCAAGGAGCTGGCTAAAGGCGTTTTTGGTGACGGCAGCGACAAGCACCAACATCGGGCAACAGCTGAAATACTTGGCGCTTTGTTGGCTGGCTCTAGCGATGACCCCGTTGAGATGCGCAACAAGGTTTGGGAATTTGCGGCGCCCATGTTGCTGAAGATTCTAAACGACGGCTTGACCCCAGAGAATCTGCAATACTGGCTTCCCTGCATCCATCTCATTTTGGACTCGAGAGACCCCCGACGATCGCGCGAGATTCTCGACAGCCTCAAGACATTCCGATTAGATATTACGTCCAACGCGGCTTTCAAGGATTCATCCAAGGTTCAGTTGCTGGAGTTTGTTTTAGCCGATGGAGGTTGGCATTTCCGCCAAGAAAAGCCCATCCTGGATGACTTCCTTGCGCATATTGATCACCCCTATAAAGCAGTACGAGAGGCCATGGGCAAAGTGCTTTGCGTCATTTTTCGGACTAGGTACCATGAGTCCTATGAGAGCGTGCCCAAACTAATCGAAGCCAACAAGAAAGCTTCATCTATTGGTATTCGACCATATCAGCCCTCTGAGGAATTGACATCTGCGATTAAGGATGTTTTTGACCGCCTGGAGAAGTGGCGTCATGAGAGGGAGCCTGGTCAGCAAACACAATCGTCATATACGTCGGGGTCCAAGACAGTGCTTACCTGGCTGGATTGCACTCTGTCATCCAATGAGTGTACCATGCTTGTACCATTCTTCGCCACACCTTTCATGGAGCAGTTGCTTCATATGATGGATGTCAAGGAGGACCCCGAGCTGATGAGGATTGCATATCACGTATACAGACATTTGCCCAACATTCCATTCAGGGAAGGCGAAGATGCTGAATTCATCAATGCGCTCATAAAGATTGGCAGAACAGCAACAAGCTGGCATCAGCGTCTCCGGGCATTGGTGAACATGCAAGTGGTCTATTTCAGGCGCATTTTCCTCACGGCTGCATCTGAAAGAGATGCGCTTTTCACGGCGGTGTCGGACATGTTGAGCGATCCCCAGCTCGAAGTCCGGTCGTGTGCATCCACGACATTGGCAGGAATGATTCGTTGCTCGCCTCGCCATATCAGAGACCCGATGATTGCACGACTCGAGAGGCGGTTCAAAGATGAACTGCAGCAAAACCCGATGCCCAAACGAAAAACCCATGTACCAGGCACGGAAACACCGGTAGATATTCACAGGCAGATTACTCGGCGCCACGCAGCAGTTTTGGGTCTAGGTGCGCTTATCGAGGCATTCCCCTACGCTACACCACCACCAGAGTGGATGCCAGAGGTATTGGCCACGCTGGCGCGCAAAGCTGCGGGTGATCCCGGCGTGGTTGGTAAAGCTACGAAGGGAATTCTGAGTGAATTCAAGAAGACAAGACAGGACAGCTGGAGCGTTGACCAAAAAGTAAGTCGTCAAGGGCGTCTGTGAAGTTTGACGTTGATTGCTAACACTGTCGGAATAGTATTTTACCCCGGAACAGTTGGAGGACCTGGAGGGTGTTCTTTGGAAGAGCTACTTTGCTTAAGACGACGACAGGATGGTAGAATAGTAATGCCTCTAGGCACATCAGACACGGAAATGACGATTGTATTGCACCTTGGTGTGAGTGTTTTTATTCTTCAGAAAAAGAAAAAGCAGAATGCTTTCATGCATGTTATGCGATACGTTGTGGGAGGAGTGGGCTACGCCTCGCATTGCAAGGCAAAGGTATGTCCAAAACAGAACATATGGTCGAGCATGAATAGAAGATTAATGATGGGGAGGCGCGAAGCTCCGAATCGTCATGGAAAAGTAATGGTGAATGACGTAGGGAACGCCACGTACATATCCTGGTCACCGTCTCGGACATGTTGAGCGGTCCGGGGGAGGTTGAAACTGCATATAATCAAGTCATTATTACACTGCAGTGACGGCCTTTGCCATGATCGTCACTGCGCAACACGGCCGCATCCATCCCATCCATCTTGACATGAGAAAGACATGAAATCCAAAATACAACAACAAAAGCGGCTTATATCAGAGAGTGCATACTCGATGCTGTCTTCCAGCTACGAGCGTACATGACCAAACACTTTGATCCCCTTGACGCTACAGTGGCAGCGTTGACACTGGCTGATGCTTGCAAATCCCATTGAAGCATTGCCTCGGCAATGGTATGGCTTGTTTGGCTTTCTCGGCTCTCGAGAAACGTGTCGGATGGAGGTCTATCGAGGCAACCCCCGTCGACCTTGAGCTTTTCTGTTGCCAATGGTGTCCCGTTCAGTTTTGTCGCCATGGACGCTGCTGCATGACAGCATGTCTCCGTTCAGTTTTGAGCTCGTGGCGGCCAGCGGCCAGACTGGCCTGGGTTCTCATTGGGATAAGTCGAGATGGCTTCTGCGGGCGCGGGCGCGGGCGCGGGCGCGGGCGCAGGGAGGGCAGCTACAAGGCCAGCCAGTGCTGCGATGACGATGGCGCAGAACTTCATGGTGTTTATTTTTTTTTAATGTATATTTTAGTTTTTTATCAACGAGATTGCAATGTGTAGTTTCTTGCGGTTTTGTTAACCAGGGTGTAAAGTGAGAAATCGTGGGGGGGAAAAAGGGGGGAGAGAAGTGCTGGATTAGGAATGTAGAGGCAGATCCAGGTGAATCAGAAGCTGGTCGGTCCATGTCTTATATCTTTGGGGCTGGCGACGAGGGCTCTAAAAGCTAGGAGATGCTCATTTCGCGGTTTAATCCTGGATGTCTCACTTGGGCGCAGCGCACTCGCTGGCTGTGTGGCCGCGTCCCACGGGCCCTCGATCTGGACCGTTTGTGTGTTGGGGGGAGAGACGGGATGCTAATTAGACATTTTTTTTTCCTTTCTTTGCTTTTTGAAATCGGGCCATTGGTGTTCTATATTTACTTCAAGGGCCGATTGTGAGGTGGATGGTTGTGATTTGCTTTGGGCGAAAGGGGGGCGACCATGTACCATGTATCTATAGTACGTCGCGTGCTTTGCTGCGGTATGATCGGCAACTTTCTGCCGGATTGACGAAAAGCATCAATTGGTCCTTTTTTGAAATGGCGCAAATAGCCGTGACCATGGCTCAAAAACGACCTCGCATGGCGGTGCGGGTAAAACACTTGGATACCACAGCCAGCGAACAATGCCCATAGTACGACTTTGAATCCCTTGACTTGTGTTGAAGTTGTGTACCCTTGCTGATCATGTGGTTGGCAGCACCACCAACAAGGTATTCTTGGTCTTGAACGCATGTGTCTTGGGCATTCCGCCACGCCGCTTGATGAGTTTGCTTTACCAGTCGAATACGTCTGCCACACCGTCAATAGTGACTCGCTTTGATCGCTCGGGGAGCATGGTTACGGGTGTTTGGCCGAGAAGAGTGCCGTAGCTTGAGCCCCTGTCGTGCATACATGATTTTGTTGGCTGACGGGCATTTAGGATGCTATTCATTGTTCCTCCAAGGTATTTGTGGAGGCCCTTGGGTTGGTAATGAGCATGTTTGTGGTTGTGGCAGGCGAATTGTTTCCCCGGCCCGTGGAACCAAAGGACAATGGATCCATTTCTGTCTGATAAGGGCACCTGGGGAAAGGGATCAATCAAGCAAACCAGGCAGGCAATGAACGACTTGGCAGCGCAATTGGCCGTATGTGGATCGCGAATCTGCCTTCTCGCCGCGCCGAGACTAAATGGGACATTAAGTCTTGGCATTCTAGATGACGACGGCGCCACTGGTCTAGGCGATATGGGATAACATGAGCAGGTAGGTATTCAGACACATCTTTATAAAAGAAAAAAAGAAACACCCCAACGGCATCCTGCTAATGTAAATACATTTTTTGACTGCTCCCCAAACATGGTTGTATACCATCCACTACACATCATTCACTCGAGTAATGCGTTTATTCTATACTAGTTGAGCTGATGAATATATTCGCCATTGCCTGCCAACCAGTCAGACGCTAGCCAAGTCGTGGATCCTTCAGGCAGTACGGGGTAGATGGGTTACATGTACAATGCATTCCTCATCGAACAAACTCGGCTTCCGGGTGGAGATTCAGCCTCATCACACACATGCAACTCCGGCCCGTTCCTGCGGACGCTTGCCAAGAACAAGGCCAGTCCGAACGACTGCTTGCAGTTGATTCCATCAAGACATGTACCACAGGCAGATATATATATACATGCATCAATGTCGACCCTGCCGCCAGATTTCATGGACCGCGCATCTCTTGGCCGAGTTGCCGCATTTGGATTATACGACACTCCCTCGAAAAGAACAGGCTCCCTGGCGCAGCTTCCATCTTGTCGAAACCATTCAAGTTGCTACACGATGGACTAGACGTGTTTCACGATCCACAGTCTACTATTACGGTTGCTCCCATCTTGGATGTGGGTTTAGGCACTTCTTCAACCGTGTGGGACGAGACGGTCACAGCAGTCGGACTGCTCGACCGTGACCCCAGCGGAGCTTTGTTAATGCAAGTCCTCAGAGGCATCTCTTTGGTCAGATGGCTGATGTCACCTATTTCGAGAATGGCACCGGGGGGAGCAACGGGGCCACGCAGTGTGAGAAATCACAAAGTAAACAAGACGACATGGAAAGCGTCAAGTGGGCTCTAGGAATCAGGCATGTGGATTGACCTTTTTTTTTTCTTTTTCCACTCATAATCAGAATTAGTCTTTTTGCTCAGCTCTTTGATGCGTAGCAAAAGAGCCACGAATATTCACCAGGTATGCATAACACTCGGAGCCCTCTTGGTAGTAGTAGTCGGTTCACTACATATCCCCATGGTCCCATTAGTCTCCTCGGTCCCTCGATTCGTAATGCACCTCCCACTCTCTCCTCGTCCAGATGGCCTTGTCGCTGCCCGCGCTGTCAATACTCATGTCCTCGGCCCCGCGATCCGACGACCTGGCCGCGACGGCCGTGACAATCTCGGCCGTGGGATCCGGCCGCAGCCTCGCCCGGGCCTTGCCGACTCGTCCCTCCTCGCGCGCAGAAGCCAGACTCTGCAGCACGTAGGAGCCGCCCTGGGATCGACTGCCGCTCCCGTGCTCAGTGGAGATCTTTGTGGTGGCGCCGAGGCCGCTGTCGAATGCCTGCAGGAACTGCCGGAAGCAGGGAAACGTGGCGGCCATGATGGAGAAGTGCATCACGACTTGGGTTGCAATGGCGATTTCCGTCGAGTTGAAGGTGGCGTCGGATGCATACCTCGAAACGCGGACGAAGTGTAGCCGGAAGGCGATGGGGATCATGACCAGGAGCTGGGCTGAAAAGGCGCACACAACCATGACCTTGGTCTTCAGCTTCATGGACAGGCCCCAGACCAAGGCGACGGCCAAGGCGCTTATCGCGAATTCGAACAAGGTGCTAAAGGTCTCGACAACGACCCATCGGGTGAACTGTTCTCCGCGTCAGCTTGAGGAGCAAGATGGGGTTGGCCGGGCGTGGCTCGTCGTACGAGGGTTGGGCATTGGCTGGCAATGTGCACGTTCCAAGGTTCGGGGAGTCTGCATTGGAAAGCCATGAGAAACAGCGAAACCACAGCCCATAGTATCGCCAAGAGCGTGACGCCGTACGTGGTGAGGAGGTGTCTTCTGTCCTGGCCGAGGCGTGCGATGAGGAGAAACATGGCGCATTTCGAGCCGCAAATCGCCACAATGTACACCATGTTGGCGGCATAGTTGAGCTTGATTGTATCACGTTTGTCAGCCAGTTTTTTTTTTTTTTCCTCTTTTCGGAAAAAAAAGAGCGCCTCCTCACCTTCAAGGCTCTGTCAACTTCATCCTCCATCAACAGACTTTCCTGCTTCCCCAGCCCGTTTCTGACAGCAAGCAGAGTAATGGCGGTTTGAACAAGGCCGAAAGCCTAAAAGAATAGCCCCTACTGTTTAGAGTGGAATCATGAATACGTGCGAGCAGCAATGGGCACTTACCGTTGCGAAAGACGCTGCGCTGTCGTCTATCCCAAAGGGGCCGTTGACGCTCAACCTGATGTACAACCTGATGAGGTACACCATGACGGTCCAGGTCATGCCCACGACGGCCGTGATGACAATGAGACCTGCGTGATCGGTAGTGGTAACCGCCAGGTTACTTGGCGTCGGTGAGCTCATGGCCGCGCTCAACACGCAAATATTCTTCTGCTCTCGTCGGTGCCGGGCTGCTATCGGACCAATAAACCGACCACCATTTCAACCACCACCGGCGTGGGAGGATCTTGGTGGTATTTGTGGGAAAGAAAAGGCTTGGCCCAGGCAAAAAAGAGGACAAAAGCATGGTTAGCAATTATATCTCTTCAAAGGGGTCATCTGCTCATGGTGGAGACTTAACGGCGGCCGAGTTATCATTCTCTTACGACACAGACAAACTCGGAGAAACTCCGTCGCTGGTTCCTTGGCCGCGCAAACATGAAACTTTGGTCAAGCTCTTTCCAGACGAACAAGACAACGTTATTTGGTCGTCTATATGCTGCGGCGGGGAGCGGCCAGGGGCCAAGGTTGTAATGCTTCTGGGGCGATGGAATTTGAACCTTGTCGAGGCCCCGTCTTGGGAACCACTCTCTGCAGCTACCGACCAGACATCCAAAATATCTTTTGCTATATTACACATGCGGTATGCCCTCCTCGCGTGTGGGAGGGAGCTCCGGATTCTGCAAGTCTTGCAACTTGCAGCGCAGCCGCCTTTGCAATACTCACCGGGATGGAGACACCAACACCACACATCGGCTCGAGGGATGCGAGTTTTGGCGACGCGGGAGACAAGCAGGCTCCTTACTTTGCGTCTGAGATGGCCGCCCAAGACCATGCGGCGCATTGTGATGGTGGCGGCCTGCACGACGGTCTTGACGCTGGTGTGACCGCAAACGACCGCAGAGATATGCAGCGGATGGGCAAGACGCAGCAGTTTCGGGTGAGCACTGTTGCCTCTAGATCTTGTCCAAACATGTCAATAGCTCCCTGGAATCTGATGATTTTTTGCACAGAGAAACTTTCGAATGGTGTCGACGATTGGGTTTACCATTTGTGTTACGGGCACTTGGATCATCTTGCTAACGTGAGCTGGGAGCTCTCTTTCGGGGGAATCACAGCATTGCTGACGAGACGCAGGTCAAACACGCAGGGCCTCATAGCCGGAGGCATGTCGGGCCTCTTTTGGTCCTTGTGTTGGTCTCACGCTGGCCAGTTCTTCATTGTCCTTTCTCTCGCCGAACTGGCATCCATGGCTCCCACCGCGGGCGGCCAGTACCACTGGGTATCGGAATTTGCTCCTCGACAACACCAGAAGCTTCTCAGCTACTTGTCGGGTATGTCTTCTTTTTCTTCCCCCTTCCCTAGATACATGTCATGTCTTTCTTCACCCGAGCTAAAACGTTGCTAGGATGGCTGTCGACGGTGTCGTGGCAGAGTATCGTCGCGTTGGATGCCTTCCTCATTGGCTCCATCATTCAAGGACTCATCGCCCTCAATAACGACTCTTACTCTCCCACGAGATGGCAGGGAACATTGCTTGTATTTGCTTCAGTCATTGGCGTGTCGCTCTTCAATGTTTTTGCCGCCAAGCACTTGCCGCTGGCCGAGGGATCCTTTGTGACGCTTTACATCTTCTCCTTCTTTCCCGTCATTGTGACTTTGCTCGTGCTGGCCCCCAAGCAGTCTGCCAGCGACGTTTTTACCAAGTTCACAGACAATGGAGCAGGGTGGCCTTCCATTTCGCTGACTGTCATGGTGGGACAGGTGTCGTCCATGTTTGTGGTTCTCGGTATGTCCCATGGGCGTTGGCCAGAATATGGAAAATGTGCTTGACGCGTCCGCTAACTCGCCGCAGGATCCGACTCGGTAGCGCACATGGCCGAGGAAATCAGGGACGCCAGCGTTGTTGTCCCGAGAAGCATGGTCTGGTCATTCATACTGAACGTGCCCTTCACCTTTGGGCTTCTGATCACGTACTTGTTCTGCATAGGCGACGTCCAAGAAGCTCTGAACTCCAAGACAGGCTTCCCCTTCATCTACGTCTTTCAAAACGCAACGGGGTCTACAGGCGCCACGACCGGTCTTACTATTGTCGTGCTGGTGCTGCTCACCATGATCACCATAAGTTCACTCGCGTCAACATCTCGGCAGACATTTGCTTTTGCTCGAGACAATGGCCTTCCATTTGCCACATGGCTCGGCGCTGTGCGTTTCTCACCTCCCCCCCCGGGGCAAACCCGGCCGACTTTGAGTTGCGATCGTTTGTGTTTTTGTTTTGGCTAACGCGCACCAGGTTCATCCGTCATGGCATGTTCCCGTCAACTCTGTCTTCTTCACCTGCGCCTTCTCAATGGCATTTGCCCTCATCAACATTGGATCAACGGTCGCGTTCAATGCCATGCTGTCGCTGTCCACTGTCGCCCTCATGGCCACTTATGTCGTCTCTGTCGGCTGCGTCACCCTGAAACGAATTCGAGGAGAGCAGCTTCCGCTCTGCCGCTGGAGCCTCGGCCGATATGGTCTACCCATCAACATCGTCGCCTTGTTGTACTCGTGCTGGTCATTCTTCTGGAGTTTCTGGCCAAACAGCTATGACATCAATGCTGAAAACTTCAACTGGGCATGCGTCCTTTTTGTTGCCCTGATGGGTTTGTCCTGCATTCTCTACTATGTCAAAGCGAGACACGTATACGAAGGACCGGTTGTCATGGTTGAGGGACATAAAAAGAATTGAGGGGGTTTATGTATCGACTCCTGTGTCAAGTCCGTGTCAGGTTTACACATTGGCAACAAGGCATGGGCCGTGTTGTAGTAATTGTAGAGTACAGTTGCTGGTCCAAGAGTCTAATATGCAGGGGAGAGAGAAAACAGTTAAAAAAAAACCACCTGTTCACTAGACGTAATTTTTGTTTCAGCCGTTCCCACGGACAGGACCAAAGACCCAACGGTTGCATGGGGGTTGGGCGGTTCTCTTCTGAGACAAGCCTCAACATGCGACTCCGAACCAGTCAAGGATTAAGCTTATCACTTGCCATGTTACATTGTAATTGAGTCTCGTCCCGCATTTAGGTCGTCCGTCCCGATTTGTCAGATCACGCGCGATCTACAGGGATCTCGTGGGCTGCCTCCCAAGGAGACGAACTTGTGTCGCATTCGGGTTTAGCAACGACTCTGTTACGGTAATTGCAGCCGCAACGCGCACCTGCGTCATCGAGGCCAAAACGCTCATGATTTTTCTTCATTCTTTTTTTGACACGTGGCGGTCTATTCAGCCCCGTGCCCGAAACAACACTAAATATATACCAACGTGGCTTGCGAGTTACCGTTGAGTGGTTGCTCCAACTAAGGTTGAGTTTTAGATATAGTAATGGTTGTGACGAGGTGAGCAACCCGTGACTCGCGGGTGTTCATGCCGAATAGGATGAATTATAAGCAACCATTGAAGTGCTAGTATCTTGTAGTTTAAATACGGGAGTCGACGCCGCTCTTGAGCTTCCATAGCTACGTACCTCATACAGCCATTGGCAAAACACACAATGTCTGATCCGTCGTCTGCTACTCCCGCCGCTAAGCCTGGTGAGGCTCATGATGTCCCTCAGCCTAGCAATGAGCCCGTCACCAATATTCCTGGCGAAATGAACAATGGCCGCAAAGAAGAGCCTGGCAAGCCTCACCATCGAGACTCGGAAGTGCGAAGGTCCCGACCTTGTCTAATCATGCCAATGCAACGCTGACCTCTATAACAAGAAAGCACCTTCAACACCCAACCCTGATCCCCCAGCCATCCAGAATACTGCCAGTGTCGTCTCCGGCGGGGAGACTATAGAGCCTGTCCCGATTCTGATTGCTTCGGAAACCTTTAGATCGGCTAAACTGGAAGATATTGACAAAGAAGTGGCGTCCCGCTACACCAAGCGAAACAGGAAAAAGCTCAAGAGCTTTTATTCCAATCAAAATGAACTGATAGACCAGTACCTCGGTGTGGGAGACGAAGAACAACTCGCTGCCGAGGAAGAAAGGCGCATGCGACCCAAGATCAGGTTTGCAGTCTATGCCTCGTTTACTGTTAACCTTTGTCTCTTCATCATCCAATTGTATGCCGCGATTTCGACCGGCTCGCTGTCTGTATGTGCTTCTTGCTTCTTGGGAGAATCGCTGGGGGAGGCTTCCGAGCCCAAGGCTGACCATGGAATGTACATAGCTCTTTGCCACGGCGGCGGATGCCTTCATGGACCTTGTGTCGTCTTGCGTCATGCTCATCACCTCGAAGCTTGCGCGGCGGCCGAGCATCTACAAATTCCCTGTTGTGGGTAGCTTGTGCCAAATAGTGCAGCCGTGTCAGTCAGATGAACTCTGTGTAATTGACTGTCATTCTAGGGTCGAACCAGAATCGAGCCAATTGGCATTATTGTCTTCTGCGCTCTCATGGCTACGGTAGCCATCCAACTACTGGTACGGCACGCAAAGTTGTTTCTCCTTCTTTGCATGATTCAGATGGCTAAATCGTCGGCAAGATTGAATCTGCTCGGAGCCTCGCGGGCGGCCACCGCGACGCCGGCCCGTTACAGGTTGTGCCGCTGTCTCTTGTCGGCGTTGCGAGTAGGCACTTCCCAATCCGGCACTTGAAATAGACTTGTTGAGCTGACTTGCGGGTGTGTCTAGTTTTCATGAAAAGTTCCATGATGGCGTACTGCTTCTTTTACAGACGCTTCCCGTCTGTCCATGTCTTCTTCATCGATCATCGCAACGACATTATTGTCAATATTTTTGGCCTTGTCATGTCCATCGTTGGTGACCATTTTGTGTGGTACCTCGATCCGATCGGCGCCATTTGTATTGCCGTCTTGATCTTATTCTCGTGGGCATCCAATGCCTTTGAGCAAGTCTGGCTGCTGGCCGGCAAAGGCGCGCCCAAGGAATACGTATCGCGACTGATATATGTGACGCTGACGCATAGCGCTCACATTCTCAAGGTCGACACAGTAGGTGGCTATGTCCTTGTTTTTTTCTTTGCCACTCTGGCCGTACACTTACTGACTGTCATTTTGAATAGTGTCGAGCCTACCATGCCGGTCAAAAGTACTACGTCGAGGTGGACATTATTATGAGTCAAGACATGCCGCTGAAAATATCCCACGATGTTAGCCAGTCTTTGCAGCGAAAGCTTGAAGGGCTGGCTGATGTTGAAAGAGCGTTTGTGCATGTGGACTATGAGCATGACCACAGCGTTCACGAGGAACATAAGCCTCTGTATGAAAATGCTCAGTTGAAAACTCTGAGAGAGTACTTCCGCTCGTTTATACGAAAGAGGAGGGGATGAAAAGAATAGGTATAGGCCATACCTCTAGGTACATTGACAAACGTATCGTTGCGGACAGCTGTACTATTGACACTGTCGGCATGAGACTGACACATGTCGTCGTGCGCCGACCGAAAAGCATGGCATAAAGTATTCGGGGCTTTTTTTTTTTTCCTTGGCTCGGTGGTGCCATCTTGAGCCTAATTGTAGTAGGTATATATGTTTCTGTTCGAGGTGGATTAGCCAGTGTGTTGCCGTGCAAGTTATAGCAAGATGGACATGTGACTTGGCTTACACCTCTTGATGAAATCTTTTTGGTGGTGAATATATTTGTTCATGATCTTTGATCATAATATAGGATGGAGGTATGCTTGTATACCTCATTGAAGTGAACAACGTTGCTCTTTACGTATATTTTGATCATGCTTTGTTCATATCGACATTTTTTGAAAATCTTGTACATGTCTTTGTCCTCGGAGGAGTGTGCAACCGTATGCCCCTGAATACTTGACATTCACTTGAGAAAATTGATCTATCCGTATTTTACACCTTGCCTGAGTTGTGTGCACATGCAGGGAGCCACTGCAACTTACACCGGTTGATGTCTTAATGTTGGTTGCGCACTTGTGAAGGGCAGTTAGCAGCAATGCCGCCACCATGTCCCGCTGCGAACGAATGAAGTGGAGACGTACATTAGCATTATTAGGGCGTACCGAAATGTGAAGTAGAAAAACTTGGTCTAACAAACGAGGCAGAACCAGAAATGGAACCCGAGTGGATGGCGTCGACACTGCTTATTGCAGATGCTCATTCAAAAGCCAATTTTCATTCGCAACGGATGAAGAGAGGAGATCAGCTTTGACGCCTTGGAGGGGAAGGCGGTGACATGTTGCACGTAGGTTGAGGACGGTACAAAGGAGGAAGGAGCAAACAAGTCTGGTGAGCATGGGGGTTTGATGCCAACCAGATAGCGTCATGTCGACCACAGAAGAACTGGGGCTCTCCATCCCATGCTTCTAGACGTCAATTTTGAGATGACTAGAACAGTTGGACTGGTGATGACGACTCCGTACCTGGGCGCGAGCCATGGCGGAGGCAGCCAACCGGAAGTGGCCGGCCGGCGGGCACAGTCACAACCACAACAACAATCACCATCGCTTGCTCCCCACCTTTTGAGCTCCCAGGCCAGGATCCGCTAGCCAAATGGCCTCAGCTGCAGACTACTCCCTCAGCCCAGCAGCCATGCGTCTTTGACATTTGCATCCAAAGGGCACGCACAGCCCCCTTCCTGGACCCAGAGTTTCACCTCGATTTCCAGACTTCCAATTATTCGGCATATCCATTCCACGGTCGTGTGGTCCAACCGTTTGACCCGTCGAAAATGTACCATCGAATTCGCCCATTCCCATCTTGCCTATGCGCCGTGTGAGGCTGATGGATGCGAAGTTTGACCACACTCAGCCTTGGCTCCGCTTGACCATCTGCCTGTGGACTTCACCATGTGAGCGCGTGAGCCTTTCCTTACCACGGTTTCCCCCTGTGTCCTGGTGCAAGCAGCCTGGTGATTCGGACGCAGGTTCCTGGACAGCTCAGCAACAAACGTCTCAATTTCAACGGACTGTGTCGATTTGGCCGCATCCACTTACACCAGCCCACAGCCTCACTCACGCTCCAGGACACAGACCGGTGCCCGAGACCGCCAAGGCAGGCATGAAATAGTATTACCTAGTGACTGCTGGGGCGAATTTTGCACATATATGACCCAAGTGTAGCCTAGCCGCTGTTGTGTGTGGTCATATCCAGGCGCCTCACCACAGACTTCAAACAAAGCACAGACAGCGCACCTTTCAATCCACCCAGCACCTTTCACGGGTCTTGCGAGCTGGACCATTTTTACTATTCTCGAGCCGTAAATGAAAACGCTGGTTCTCGTCCGGATGAGCTGTACAGGCCTTGCACACACACACGCGCGTGCGGATATATATACATATACGGGTCGGTTGACCTTGAAGCCGCCGCGGAAACGCAGCGCAGACAAAGGACCTGATTCTAGACCCAGCAATTCTTTTCCAGCTATCAAGAAGCAATCAACATCCAACATGGAACTTCACAAATTTTTAAATGACGCTGACCGCCAGGATAAGGAGGCAGCAAGCCGAATGGTCCAAGCCCAATATGACGACCTCGATGCACGAGGGCTGAGCAATTCGCCTCCTCTAGACATCGGTTCCATCGGCCCCAAACCCAACAGCTCCGAGGACCCTGTCGAATATATGAAAGAATATGAGGCGGCTTACGCAAAAGAACGAAGCAGAATATTGCGGCAAGAGAAAGACCTTGATTTCGATTCAAGATGCCGTGCAAATGCTACAGCACTCGAACAGCGGGTTGACCAAATACTGCATGAATGTCGTAGGCAAGACGAACAAATGTTTGAGAACCAACCACCACGGCTAGGCCACGGCGGACAGCAACATCAGAGATTTGCGGGAGATCATTACTTGTCAAATGTTGACCTCATTCCAAAGACAGCTTTATGGCGTGTGGCAAAGCAAATTCCAAAGGGGAGTCACCTTCACAACCATTTCAACGCTTGCTTGCCATCGAGCTTTCTTTTGGACCAAGCAGCACAAATGCCTAGGATGCACATCATGGGCGACCGCTCCTTGAACCCATTCAACCTTGAAATGTGCCAGATACAATTTTCCATCAAAAGCGAAGAAAGTGAGAAAGCCGGGCCTGGTCCGGAAAATATCTTTTCACAGGATAATAAAAGTGGCTGTCACTGGTCCATGAAACTGAGCGAATTCTTGGGACAATCCAAGGATAGATTCAATGGCCTAGAACCCATGGAGTGGTTGCGGACAAAGGTAGAATTTGACGAGGAAGAGGTTCATGGTCCGGAACAAACTCAACGAGGGTGAGTGGCAAGTAATCCAAGATGATAGTTAATCCTCAGTCAAAACTAACATGTTACTCTGCATGCAGATCTTGGCAACTCTTTAATATGAGGACGAGGCTGATGAAAGGGCTCTTCAATTACGAAACAGGCTTTCGAAGGTACACACAAGCATACCTTCAAAACCTTGTAGAAGACAAGATTTTGTATGCCGAGTTGCGAGTAACCTTCATGGAGAGCAATTACCTGTTCTCAGACGACGGGAAAGAACGGAAGAATAATTTTGAAATTGTGGGCATCATTGCCGAGGAATTGGACCAGTTCAAGGCCAGCTTGACGGACGAGAATGCGTTTCATCACGTCAAAGTTATTTACTGTACACCACGATCTATGGAACCAGAAATGGTTCAGGCCGGCTTGGACGAGTGTATCAAACTCAAGGAGATGTGGCCAGCACTGATCGCAGGTAAGCAATCATAAGCCTCACTGGAAGTGTGCTCAAGGGGCCGCCTTAGTAACTAACTTTATGAGCAGGCTACGATTTGGTCGGGCAGGAAGGGCCAGCGAAGGATGCGAAGTATCCCCTCCAGAAGTTCGCTTACCAGTTTCATTCATTCAGACAAAAATGTGAAGCGAAAGGTCTAGATCTACCTTTTCTGTTTCACTGCGGCGAGACACTCGAGATGGGGACTAGTACGGATGGCAACCTGTTGGATGCGCTGATGCTGGGTGCAAAGCGCATTGGCCATGGCTTCGCCCTGATCAAGCATCCGCACATTATGCAACAAATGAAGGCCAAGGGCGTCTGCCTAGAGTTGTGTCCAATCTCGAATGAGATCTTGGGCCTAACATCTCGAGTGGCTGGCCATTCAATGTATCCTCTCCTAGCTAATAATGTGCACTGTACTATCAACGCCGACAACGGAACACTCTTTCGGTAAGTTAAAACTGCTCCATGTCAAGTCTGAATAAGTAACGAGGATAACTAATATGAGGGCCCTTCACTGCGCAGATCTTCCTTATCGCACGATTTCTACCAAACTCTGGCCGGCAAAGACGATCTAGGGATTTACGGTGTGAAGCAGTTGATTTTGTGGAGTATCCAGCATTCTTGCTTGGACGATGACGAGAAGGAGCAAGTGCTCAAAAAATGGGAACAGCAATGGGCAAATTTCCTGAACCAGGTGGTGAATGACTATGATTTCCCAATGAGGCCACAAACACTAGGATGAAGTCCTGCGAGCATTCACCGCGTGTGCGGGGATGGTTGAGCAGGCTTGAGAATAAGAAGCGACCATGAAGCACCGAGCCCAGAATACGGGAGGATCCAGAGGCAGTACAACAGGCGATGCAGGTGACGGAAGTGGGAAAAACAGCCAATTTCTGCACCGAGGCAAGGCGCAACAAGGAGGCTTGTGTGGGATGGCTGACGACTTGGATGGCAGCGTAAAGAGGCTGAGAGTCGAGACGATGCAGCCCGGAGCTTTGAGCTGCGCATGGCGCACATGGGTGGCCAAGGTGGTGGATCTTATTGAAAGGATTATGACGGAAGCTTCGACACGCAAAAATATAAATGACGGCCTTGGAATCCTGACAGACGACTGGTGTGTCACTGATGACTCTCGTTCGTCAAAACGCGCAGCCAATGAACACTGCAGGCTTAAGCCTTCAATGTTGTTGTGGATGGATGACAGGCGACATGTGGACGTGCGTGGGGCGGGACAGGCGGGTTAAGTGGCGCGGGCCGGGGCACGGCAAAGACGGGAGGGAGCATGCCATCTGGCTGGCTCAGCCACGAACTAAGGCACCAGTTGGTTGCCAGTCGCCAGTTGAGCAGTTGGCAGACATCGAAAGTAGCTCGTCCACTTAGTTGCTGACGGGCAGTCTCCAGGCCTGGGCCTGGGCTCTTTTCCAGCCTCACCTCCACAGACTTGCAGACCATGCCGGGATGCTGGTGACGGATGTGCCGTCACCCCAAGTCTCCCGTTCGCCTCCTTTTTTGTTGTCTTCCTCTCTTCCTCCCTCCTATTTATTCCAGAGACGCTCCCCTTGTGTGGTCATGTCTGGTCGTGGCAGCAGCAACTGATGCAGACGGCCAGAGCGAGCGCCAGTCGACGTCCTCAAACCACATCCCCTCGGCTCGAGAGCTGCCATGTTGACGCCGCTGGCATCTCTTTACGAATCTCACAGTCCCTGACCACAGCCTGGCCGCATCAATTGGCAATCGCCCTTCTCCTGAGAACATATCCACCATAATCGCCGCTCATCATGTCTCAGCCCGGAGACGCAGACTGGAAGTGGTTTCCCAATGTCAAGACGGGATGGTCCCTCGACGTCGTGAACCTCCTGGTCGTCATTGGCGAGTCCTCCATCGCTGAACACTCCCAGGCTATTACGGCCTCTCTCCCCGGCATGCTGCCTCGCATTCTACCTGCGCCTCAAGCTCTCCTCAAGCCGTCACGCCCAACGAGAATGCCCGAGACCCATGCGCGCATGACGGGCGTGTACAGCGGCACCACATTGGAGTCGGTTGGTTTTTTTGCCAACATCATTACCCCCCTGGACCAGCTACATGCCTTCAGCTTCAAGGTATTAGACATTAAGCATGCCGTCTGTCCCGTGGACCGAGTGCCAAGGGTGGCTGTTGGGGGAGTGCCTGCTGCTTTGGCCGCCATGAGAAGGATGCTGCGACGACTCAAGGGAGCAAAGGGCCCTGAAGACGGCATGGAAGAGAAGCCCGCCGAACAAGGGCTATCATTATCGCACCGGGAGCAGGATGAAGAAGCCGCCCCGGCAGCACAGCAGGACAAATCTTCCCGCAACGAGGCAACCTCCACCGGACTTCCTCGTCGCCACTTCACAGTCCAGTTCACCGACGAAACCCTCGCCAACATGGGAAACCCGGACTGTCCATCGGGACACTCCCTCCCGCGACGACGATCTACCGCCCGCAGACGCGCACAGGATCTCCTCACCTCTCCTACCGTAGCAGTAGGCGGCAACCGTCCCGCCGTGCCGGCCAAGCTCTTCTCACCCATCCACATCCTCTCCATCTTCTCTTGCGCGCTCAGCATCGGCCTCGTCGTCATGGCCGCCGTCTACCAGGACGGCACGGCCATCCTCGCCATAACCCTCATATCGCTGGCCTCCACCGTCGTCGGCTACGCCTCGTTCTGGCGCCCCATTCTCATGAAGCGCAAGCATACCAATGAAGTGCCCCGCGGCGACGTCCTTATCCGCACCCGCGAGGGCGCCTTCGTCCTCGTCCGCTGCTCCGAGGAGGTGGCGCGGGAGCTGTACTCGGGCACCGAGGAGTGCGAGTACTACATCGGGGGCAACACCTACCGCGCCCTCATGGCCCTCGGCACCATGCTCCTCATGGTCAGCGTTGTGCTGCTGGGCAACTGCACGTGGGAGCTCAAGGTCTTCATCGGCGCGAGCTACATCGTCCTCAATGGCCTCTACTGGGGCCTGGGCATGATTCCGCGCTCCTACTTTTGGGACCTGTCGCGCTACGAGTGGCAAGACGTCACTCCTCCCGACGCCGCCAGGGCGCACCTCGTCACAAACGAACTAGACCAGCGCGAGGGACACCCCTCCTTCACAAGGACACTGTGGTACGCCATCAGGGAAACCGAGTTGACGGGCTGGGTCGAACGGAGCGGCGCCGCTCCCAGCACCGACCAGTGGAAGAAGTGGCTCCGCGAAGCAGAGCAGGCCGCTGTCGAAGGAAACAGAAAATGGCCTGCAGTGGCTAGGAAGGACATCATTCTAAAGGAGAATCTGAAGGCCGGAAGAGAGTTTGATCAGGCGGCGCAGCATGCGCCTGCTACCGAGGTCAGACCGCCTCCTGACTCTGGGAATCGATGGACAAAGGATGGGACATTTTAGAGCATGATTTTTGTATTTTATTTGGGGAGGGGGGATTGGCATAGCGTGTTTGCGCACATTACTTTGAGATATCCTGGCATTAATTCTATAGAACAAGTTAAATGAGATACGAATACATGTTGACACGTACCAACAACCTCACGCACTCCTTTTGTTTTCTTTGTTAATAAGACATTTCACATCTAAACAGCGTAACGCCTTTCCATTCGCCGTGTAGGATTGACACACCGCCCAAACTTCCTCTCCATGTGCTGGACGAACCATCCCTCTTGGCAATCTTGTTCAAAACCGACCTCTCGCCAAGTTCATTCTCATTATCCTATTCAGCGCTGTTGAGTGGCACAGGAAGGACCTCATAGTATATGCATGCATCGTCGCTCTTCTGGTTGACGAAACATCGTTGCTCGCAGAAAATATACGGTGGCAAAGACGGTAGGAAGACGACTTTCGATTGACAATTGCGCAGACACTGCAAGGCCCAATTCAGAGCCGCCGGCTTCCCGTCTTTTGGTCCGCGCCACGAAGTGAACGTCAAGCTTTTGCAAGGGCAAATCTTCTTTTATTTGCTATGTAAATCAGCGAGCAAGTCTCATTTATACTGTATTTTCTGTCCCTTCCAACTATACGCTATGCTGCACCAAGCGTAAAACTCAGAGTTAAAGAGTAGCAAAAAAAGTCTCAAACGCCACCTCTCCATGTCCTCAACCAGCAAAGACGCCATATGTGTGCATGTTCCAACGCCTTGGGTCTGAGATGAGACCCCAATCTTCTATGTATAGCTTTGCACATGTTCCTTGGCTAATCGTCAAAGTAAACGCCTTTCTTCTGCGTAATATCAATCATGCCACCGCGGAAGCTGCCCTTCTTCTTCTTATTCTTTTCCTTAGTGAAGCCTTTGCCTTTGGTAACAATTAAATCTTCGTGGGCGCGCTGTGAGTAGTCCATCGAAACGTACTCATTAGAAGCAAAGCGGGGATCCACTTTGATGTTCTTCGGAATACGTGAGAACGGCTCTTTTTGCTTCTTGCGGCCATTGGTAACCGGGTTGGGAGGCAGAGGGGGATCTTCCACCTTGGGATTGGGCACAGGTGACTGGTTGTCCAGTGTTACAGAGGTGTCAGATGAGTCCTTAGATGCTGCACCTTTGGTCTTTTTGGATTTGGCCTTTGCTGAGTCTGAGTCGGAGTCTGAGTCTGAGTCGGAATCAGAAGAAGCGTCGTCAGAGGAAGAGTCAGACTCGGGAAGGGCGACTTTGGCAGCCGCTGCAACCTCAATTTCGACATCAATCTCGTTATCACTGGCGGACTCAGCCGAACTATCGTTGTCAGAAGACGAGTCATCCGACGAAACTTGGTCGACATCCATCTTGCCGTCATCGCTAGAGTCGCTATCCGAGTCAGATTTCGAAGCCACTTTCCTGGCTGTTTTTCGCTTCTTCGCCTGGGGCTCATCATCAGAGTCTGAGCTGGAGTCAGAGTCAGAGTCGCTAGAGTCAGAAGACTCAGAGGAGCTAGACTCGACTGGCGCTTTGCGCTTCAAGATTTTAGTCTCGCTCGTATTTTTTTTGGTAGCAGGAGCGACTGTCTTTTCATCTTCGCTTTCGCTCGAGCTTCTTGATCCATCGCTAGACTCCTCACTAGATGCGTCGCTAGACTCGTCGTCAGAGTCTTCTTCGGATTCGACCTTGCTATTTTGACCGCTTTCCCAGATCTTGAAGATCGAAACCAGGGAGTTATCACCATACATCGAAGTTTCACACGACCATCCATTTTTCACAACTTCCTTCTGGAAAGCGCTGTGCGCCTTTGCGAAGGAATGTTGGTCCAGGAAGCTTCCGACTAGGTTCAAGAGCGCGGCGGGAGGTGCAGAAGCGGCCTGTTCCCTAACGGAAGCGACCGCCTTGGAACTCTTCTTGGCCATTTTGTCGGATTTTGTCGGTGTTTCGGTGGTGGTACTGACTTTTGCTGTCGCCTTTGTGGTGTTGCTGGTATTGTTGGAGAAGAGCCAGGAAGGCGGGCCACTAGACCGTGACATGAGCTTTCAAGAATAGCACAGACTTGAAAGGGAAGGGAGAAAAAAAAAAGAGGCCACAATGCAGTTTATGTAATCCAAAATTCTATTAAGTGCTCAATGCCGACGCCAAAAGTAGGAAGGATCAAGTCTGTTCACCGACGAACCGGCTCACAACCATTACCATAAAGCAGAAAGAACGAGTCGTTCGAAAAATTTCTGTGGGAACCAGCCTCTTTTTTGGCAGGGATCCTACAGGTGGGATTGGTGGGTACCTACCTAGGTACCTTGTTGTGTGTGGGCGGGCATTGTTTGAGTCCCTTCTCGTCCTTATCGCTTGTCAAGGACAAACTATGCGCCGACTTCCGTTCAAGTAGTCCGTACCTACCTTCAGGTTTCCCGGTACTCCATAATGATGCAAGAATAACCCAGCCTGGCCGCAGCCCAGGGAAGGACCCAGTGCTTGGGCTGCAAGTCAACAATAGCAACATCATAGCTCCATCTGGGAAGCTCCAAACGGCTCTGCACTTTTCCATCTCGCGCTCATCTGTCAGGTCATCATCGAATTCGCACCAGCAACCCAAGCCAAGGCATTTTTAACCCCGCCGCCAAGTCTCTCTAGCTCAAATCCGGCCTTCTGGCCCTTTTTTTGGTCCCACGCCACTGAAATTGCCGCTCCCAGCTAAGCGCTTTCCATGTGTTGCTCCGTGAGCCAAACAATCAACGTCAATCTCCCATCCACCCCTGCCGATATAGCAGCGGCCCAAGTCGCCTACTTCCCTTATTTCTAGACGAGGTCGTCGGGCTCCGGGATCTGCGGTGTCTGCCCTTCAGCCATGAACGCGACGAAGCGCAAGTTTAAGGATTTGCTTCAAGGTCTAAGCAGCCCTGGCCCAACTTCTTCCGACAAAGAAGCCGACAAGATGAGCAGTAGCCCTCGATATGGCACCGATACGGCAAGCAATGATACGATTCTTCAGAAACGAAGGCGATTGGGATTTCCCGAATCCATGACTCCTACGCTATATAGCCCATCGCACACCACCACATTTTCCAATGTGGTGCTCAGGAAATCTAGTTCGCAACCAAATAGCAAGGCAACGAGCCACACTCCAGCAAAATACTGCCCCGGGGATAGAGACGAGTTGCTCAAACGGTTGGCAACATTCCAGGAAATCACGGATTGGACACCAAAGCCTGACAAGGTCAACGAAATAGAATGGGCGAAACGAGGATGGATATGTCAGGGGAAGGAGAAGGTTCGGTGTGTATTATGCCACAAAGAGCTTATGGTGAAGCTGAATCGGAAGGAAGAGGAGGGTAAAGAGTTGCCGGTATTGGTATCTTCTGAGATCGGTAGGCAACTGACTCATCCAGTGACCCATTCTGAGACCGCTGCTGACCAGGTACAGCGGAGGCATTGGTGGATAAATACTCCGACCTTATTGTGTCATCGCATCTGCAAGACTGCTTATGGCGGAAGCGTGGTTGTGAGGGTGAGGCAGACGCGCTGATCAAATTCGTCTGAAGGAGTCCGGGCTGATCTTGAAACCATAGACTCTTTAATTCGCCTCTCATTTTCCAATGCGTCGACAACACTAGCCCAGCTACGGCAACGGTATGATGAACTGTGTGCCAGGTCTCCTTTTCTTCCATACGAATTCAACCTACGCCTTCCAGATGAAGTTGATATCGACAATGTCCTCTCTCAACTTCCGCCCGACTTCTTTTCCGAGCCCCCACCGGTTGTTGACAAGTCTGGAGCAGTATCCACGGACAAGCCGCCCAACAGAGCTGCGCTGGCGCTGGCATTGATGGGATGGCAGGGTCTTACAAATTCGCGGATAGGGCCGGTGCCCAACTCAGCATCGTGCCACACCTGCTTGCGAAGGTTAGGACTGTGGATGTTTAAGAGCAAAGAAGTCGATGATTTGGGCCAAGTTGTAGTACCGGCGCCAATGGATCATTTGGATCCGCTTCGAGAACACCGTTTCTTTTGTCCTTGGAAGAATCCGCAAGTTCAAAGTCGAGGAGGTGTTTCTAACGGGAAGGACAGTCTGGCGGGCTGGAGGACCTTGGTCCAGACTATAAAGAATGAATCAGACTTGCGCAATCTTTACAGCGGGAAATCAAAAAGAGTAGGACAGTTGCTAGCGTCACCAAGCCCTATGAGGGACATGCCTGGCACGCCCGGGTCGCCCAGCCCCGCTCCTCCTAGGCCGAAGATGAGTATTGATGCGCCATCAACAGGGACACCCCAGACAAATGCAGGTGATGACGAGGAGAAGACCCGAGAAGCAAAGGACAAGGAGCGGTGGGCAAGGTTGAGAAAGGTGAAGAGCCTATTCGATACCAAAGGTTCAAGAAAGTTTCGACGGGGATTAGGTCGACCTGGCACCGGCCACTCCAACAAATCCACGACGGGGGCATGATATAACATATTGAAGAAACAAAAATGGGCATAACTCACGACATTCACAATATTATTGCATGGAGTTTTGTATAAAACTTGAACCCAGAACCTGGCATTCAGAGATGTAGAAGAGAAGGGCAAGGCAGATAGATGGCAAGAGCCAATGCAATTTGAAATTTACACTCAGGCGACGGCTTGATGACATACAAACACAAACAGGATCTACGTCCTCCATTCAATGTCGTCGAATGATACAACAGGCCCAGTATAGGCCACAGTATCGGCCTTTTTCGTCACAGTTTCCTGTAACGTGAAGCCGGCCATTTCCAAAATTGCGGTTCTCACACCACCGAGTCCTCCCCCATTCTTCAACCTGCCGGGGCTTTCCATGCCCGCAGCGGTAATATATATCCGTGATGCTGCACCCTCTTCATCTTTCCACTTGCCGCCAAACTCTTTATGGAGGCGATCAACTTCCTGCTGTACCACGTCCGCAAGCAGACTACATGTCTCAACCCATGCGTTCCTTGCCTTGTCCGCCTTTGTCAAAACAACAACTGTGCGCGTGTTTGCCTCGGCCAGGGTCCTCAACATCCACCTGTCCTCGGGTAACAACCTCTTCTCAGAGGACAGCAAAACAACGGCCCCGCGCAACATCCTCCTCGCCTGGAGATACTTCATGATGGCATCGCCCCAACTAGCCTGGCTTTTGAAGCCGTATCCAGGCGTATCGACGACTACTAAACTATGTCTGGGAGGCGGCATGCCCTTGGGCACCAGGTCTCTTGGGATTTTAGGCAGCGGTCCCACGCCGTAGGCGTTCATTAACGTCGTTCTGCCCGGTTTTTGGCTCACCCGCGCGGCTTTGGACTGGCCGACGAGGGCGTTGAGAAAGGTGGATTTTCCGACATTGGATGAACCCAGGACGACGATTTCGGGTGTGACGTTGTTCGCGGAGTGGTGGCGAAGGGCTTCGGCGGAGTAGAGGAATTTGCACGGGGAGGAGAAGAACTTCTCTGCGGCGGAGAGCTGCTGGGTGTAGGATTTGCCTGTACGGGTTGTTATGTGGTTGGGAGAGGTTGCGGCTGGGTTGTGGCGGATGGACTTGGATGTCAGGAGGACCTGTTTGTATGGGCCTGATGTGCTGGTATCCTGTGTTGCGGATTCTCGGGCATGTTGTTGTATTACTGACGGTTTACGTGGGCTGACCGATGCTCGTGGTTGTGATGGGACGGGAAGAGGGTCATGGTTTGGGCGCGTGTTCCGGTCTCTGTCCAATCTTGAATCCTTGTCCGGGAACGTCTGAATTGGGCGTGAGGGTGATGGCCGACCCGGCCGCCGTCTTATATACTGATATGGTGAAGCTGAAAAGGGAGCCTTGCGAGTGTATTTGTGTTGGCACAGCCGTAGCTCCCTTGGTATGACTCGTCTCAACAGCAGCATGTCCAAGTTGGGTTCAAAACAGGGCGATAATGGATGAAGTGTTTCATCGCTGTAAGAGGCTCACAAGAGGTGATGCCATGAAGGGATCTATTTGATAAGGGGACGAGGTTTCGATGCTGCTCCACGTTGGCTGCCGCACGCCGAGCAATCAGGTAAAAGGTCAAGGCAAGGTGTAGATTGAAGCCCCCACAATCACTCTCAAAACTCCACATCCGACAACTCAATCGAGTCAAATCTCAGAAACCAGTTCATTTGGCCAACTCTGCATCGAAACAGTGACAAAATATCTTTTCAGTTCAAAGTTGCAATCAGTTGGACGGTATTGGAAGACGGAGAAAGGCGACTTCATCCCCCTTCCCCCCAAAAGCTACAGGACGACAGACCAGGACCAGGGACCAACAACTGGATAACTCAACCTCACGCCAACTCAAAACCATGACAGTCTCACTCGCCGAGCTAGATGCCCACGAGCAACCAAGCGATGAGATGCGCGCGGAATGGAAACACTTCTCCCGCTTAGACCCCTCTGCTGTGGTGCAGGACCCCAGAATCGACGACCCTCGACTTCCACTATCCGAGAATGGATTCCAGGCCACGGGCAAGATTGACAAGACTCACGTCGCCGATGCTTTTGCAGCGCTGGGAGACCATCTCAGACCGTCTGCACAAGAGGATATCCCCATCATCTCCCACTCATTACTACCAGGTAAAAAAATATGTGCTCCCAAGCCGAGCGTGCCACCCCCCTCATCAACAACATCTCATGGCAGCCTCGGCTCGCTTCCTTTCTCACGACGCAAAGACGAAGCGCTAACCAACCAGGCCTGCTGATTATACCGAATCTCGTGCCGCCAGCGGTCCAAAAGGTCCTCCTAGCCAAAATGCTCCATAGGGATCTCTCCAACCCCAAACACCAAACCAACCTGCACCTCCATTACACTCTCCCCTACGCGTCCGCAACATGCTACCCCCCAGAGTCGGGCTCGCCTCTCCCTCCCCGGGCCCAATCCTTCTTCGCCCTCTCCCCCGAGTCCCCCGCGACATTCATCCCCAAGGACCCGGCGGTCCACAGGCCCCTGACCGCAGGCCAAGTCCTCAACCGCCGCCTGCACTGGGTCACGCTCGGCGGCCAGTACGACTGGACGAACCGCGTGTACCCGGACTCGGAGCCGCCCCGTTTCCCCTCAGATCTCGCGCAGTTCCTGGAGAAGCTGTTCCCGGATACCCTTGCCCAGGCGGCCATTGTGAACTTCTACAGCCCAAAGGACACCATGATGATGCACAGGGACGTGAGCGAGGAGGTGGACAAGGGACTGGTGAGCTTGAGTTTCGGGTGTGACTGCTTGTTCATGATTGCTCCAAATACTCGTGCCGGCCACGACGACGACAAGGTGGGCGAGGAGGAAAAGACTGCTGAAAATAGGCGAGGCGAGAAGAAATATCTATTGCTGCGGCTGCGCTCCGGTGACGCCATCTACATGACCAAGGAGTCAAGATATGCCTGGCACGGTGTGCCCAGGATTATCAGCGGTACTTGTCCGGATTACTTGGAGGATTGGCCAGCGGAAAATGGGGAATACGCAGAGTGGGAGGGTTGGATGAGGAATAAGCGGATTAATTTAAACGTCAGGCAGATGAGGGATTAGACTGCCAACAAGCACTCGTGTGTCGAAAAATACACCACGGCACGACAATTGTCGGCTGCCTATGTATCTAGAATCTAGGTATACAATCCGCGGGCTCCGTAAAAGAATACGCAAGTCAAAAAAATAAAAATAAAAAAATAAAAAAGAAGTCAAGTAAAAATATACAAAGCCGCTGTGCCTTTTTTCCATGTGAAGTATCAATGTAGACCGCTGGTGCTCGCGCCAAATATCACAACCGTCCCTTATGCAAACCCAAAGCCTTGTGCATTCTCCAGCGCCATGCCCAACCGCTCCCGTAATACTTCCTTGTCATTGTATTCCGGCAACAGTAGTGTTCCATAACACGTATAAGCCGTGGGCAAGTGACCACCACTGCCCTCCTCTTCACCATTTTTTTGTACTGTAAATTGCACGTTTCGCATGCCGCCCACCGGCAAACGGTCCGATGCCGTGACAAACTCGAGAAGTTTGCGCTTCATTCTGTCGTCATATCTCTTCACAATAGACCAAAAGTCCTTGACGGTGTGATGCGAGGAATCCCAGCCGACGTAACGAGCATATCGTCGAAGCTCCGAAATATCAATCTCCTGCACGCCCTCGACGATGGACTGCAAGAGTGAAGGCGTCAATAGTGTGAGAGACTTGGCATCCAAACACGCCCGGAAACCGCGCTCAAATGCTCGAAACTGGGGCCGGATGGACACGTCAGTCAGGTATCGAACGTAATCGCTCACGTACTCGTCGCGGTTCTCACTTGTGACAAGTGGCGCCTCGTCCTCAAGTGCAGCAGGGCTGTTTCTTGTTGGAGGCGTTGGAATACCCTGCGGCCAAGAAGACTTGTCCTTGGTCATGGGAAGAGTGACGTCAGCGCCAAAAGCCCCGACCGAGAATTCGTATGTCCTTGCAAAAACATCCTCTACCAAACCATCTTTCTCATCCCACTCTTGCAAAGCGGTCAGTCCACTTGCTAAATCTGGCCAGCCATCCGCAATATGGTAAAGTTCTTCCACAGGTTGACCCAAAAGCTTCCTGTACAGGGCTTTAGGGAAAGTTATCGGAAGTGTCAGCCCATTGTACACGGCTAGGGACACCAACAAGCCGATCATCTCAAACTTCCATGTTTCAACAAGAGATCCTGGCACAAACCATGCCATTCTCGTCCTGTCATCAACCGTGAACGCCCCATAATTCGGGTCGAGGCATTCTGCCATTGCCATCCGAAAGAATTCTTGTTGAACTCCGCCAGAGTCAAACCCTTCTTCACCGCCAGCACCTTCTCCCAAGTGAATTTTCAAGGGCCTCAACAATTCTCGTTCTTGCCGTCTCCATAGCTGATCAAAAGCATCTCTGAGCACGTGATCTCTGCTGATAGCAAGGATCAAATATCTTGAGGATGCAGTCTTAAGCAAGTCCTGCAGAACGTGCTTATGGTGAGTGTTGGTAACTAGACTTCCCGGGTCAACAATGGCAGTCATTCTGGTCTTCAGAGAGCTAGACTCTTCAAAATTTTTGCTCATCCGCGAGAAATTGATTGATCGGAAAAAGGAAATTAGTGCCTCGGGACTGAAGAGGTACGGGTGGTCTAAGAGATGATGCCTATGCCTAGTAGAGGCAAAACCAACCCATACGACAGGAATGTCCATAGCATCCAATCGCTCTGAAAAATAATCAACGCGAAATTGAATGTCTCCTAGGAGAAGCATATTCCTGTTTTCGTCTACAAGAGACATCAGAAGATGTTTTCCCGTTGCGTTGGGCAATGAGTAACTTACACAATGTGGTAATTAGAGACAAAGCCCCATGAAAGGGACCATCGGTTGAGTACTCTGGGCGTCCGTTCCACTCTTGAAGGAGCACTGCTCTCGCCCAGTCCAACAGAAGCGTAGGAACTCGGGTTTCGTGTAACAGACGTTCCGCTTGAGTGAATTCTAGGATACGAATAGGTCCGCTTCCTAGGAGATCTAACTGGTTCAATAAGAGACCTAACACATCAAAACTTGCCTCGTCCCCTTCACCGTCCCACTCCGCTATTTCTGCAAAGCAATTCCGAGCAGTGATGGCGCAAAAAAGCCTTCTGGCTAATCGCAGAGCAAGCTCATTGGAAAACACGTCATCGTATTCGAGGCATACGGACGAAGGCTGCCTAGCCGCTGCGCCTTGTCCGCCTAGGACGAAGCCATTGGAACGAATCCGTGACATTTCGTATAGTGTCTTAGAGTCCTCTGCGCAGGGGGCTACTGCTACCAAAGCGTGAAGACAAATTGACATAATACAGCCAGCTTCAAAATTAGTCAAGGCCGGATTTTGACGCTCTCCAAAGAGCCTTTTCGATGACAGCCTCGCTGAATTTAGACCCTCGGGTGGTGCAAACAAGCTCTTGGCTGCGAGCCACAGACTATGAAGCACAAGGCTAGGTGCCGCCCGTGTCATCCGCAGCATGCAGTACCAAAGGGTTTGAGAGTCATACAGTTTTCCGTCTTTTGTGAAAGACTTCACCAGGAGGTGGGGGTCGCTCAACACATTGAAGATAGTCTGTTCGTTGAACGCTCGCCATTTGCCAGAAAGAACGCCAGCAGATTTCACTTGATGGTTAGGTCTCCGTCTCGCCAGCCGGTTTGATAAATTTTGAGGTTTCGGGTGGCTTTCCATCAAGGTTAGCGGCCCAAAAAAATGTCTTTCATTGGTGTGATCTTCCTGGAATATGTCGCAGATAAAATCGATCAACTCGACATTCAGTTGGCTCAGAGCCTGTGGCAACGGGTAGTTTTTCCGGGATTCTTCCGTTTCTACAGAGGCATCATCATGATCCTCCGGGGCTTGCTTACGCCTCTGTGCCCTCACAACGGCAAAGGTAGTCTTGGCAGAGGAATCCTCCTCGGAGTCCCCATGGTCAGATAAGGCTGGATCAACTTCGTCAACGGGGGGCGGAGATAGGCAGGGGACATTTTCGAAGAACGCGGGCTTCAGTGGGATTTCTGGTACAGTTCGCCCGACGACACCCGGTGTCAGTTTAGGACCCCGCGGTCTCTTATCCCCATGGAAGCTGCTTGACTTCGCGGTTGGTTTAGGTCCATCTGCTGGGGTTGGTGGAGGAAGTGGCTCTAGAGATGTCTTTTTCTGTGACTTTGACGTGGTTGCCGTCTTAATGGAACCCTTTGAGTTTCGTTTCCGCCTAGAAGAATCTCGTGGGACCATCGACTCATCGGTACGCCCTGCATGTTCAGGCAGAGCCTGATGGCTCTGTTCCAATTCTGGAGTTATCAGGGGATGTGAAGATGACTTGGATGAAGAATGTCTGATGAGTGACGGAGGCGGCACAGACGTGGGATCTGTTCTTTCTTGTGAAGTTTCCTTCGACTGCTGCTGTTTGAAAGTCGCATCGGGGTCACTAACATCAGAAATTTGTTCAGATATTGCTCGCAAACCCTGTGGAGTGAGCCACTCCAGCATTTTAAAAGCTACCGTCCCAAATGTTGTAGCTGCAAATGACCTGTAGTCTCTGCTTACAGGCTTCTCTGCTATATTGATTTTGCTCCTGCCAACGGTATATCGACCCTGGTCGCGACCAATGTGTTTGGAGGGTCCCTCCTCTCCGCCAGGTGGCTGGGCTTCTGGTTTGACTGGATCACTTCCAGGGCTCTCAATGATGGAGACCTGACATCGTCTGCCAGACGACAAGTGTTTTGGCTTGGCTTCGGCATCAACGGAGGCCTTGCGAGGTCCTGGAGCCCCAGGAGCCCTGGGAGACGGAAGATCGGAGAGAGTTTGAGATCGCGGTCGTTGTGTTGAGAAAATAAGATTATTCACGGCCGGCGGGGGACCGTTTGATCGACGCAAGTACGGGCAAATACCTCTGTCCGGGTTATCCTGGCTCGCAAGGTAGACAGCCAGCGTCCTTGCGCTGGTAGGGCTGTATCGTCGAATGGGCGCCTTTCCTACGAGACGCTTCCGGCATGTGAAGCAGGTTGCGGTGTTGCATTGGGGAGAACCGCATCCGACGCGGAGTTGCGCAATGTACCTGTTTGGGAGACAGGAAATTAGTATCCAGCAGGTCAGATTCACGACCAGGCAGTGGCAAAGCAATTAGGGGTAGATGGGAACGCATACCTTTCGACGAGTAGTTGGAAATCATGCCGCCTACTAGCCCGATAAATAGCCCAGACTCGTCTTGGGTTTTCAACATCTTGGAGATAGTCTTGGAGTTCCGGCGGCGCATCGTCAGGCAAGCGAGAAAAAGGCGCTTCTTGCCAAAGACCAGCCTCCAGGTCTAGAATATCCGGTATGCAGTTGTTGTCGGAGGTATGGCCATCTGAGTTACCACCATGACCGGCATCGCTATGCCGCAAGGCGCTCATGATGAACGATGTGAAGGGCTCAGTCGATGCATCGGCCAAGGTTTGTCGTCCCGGGACGTCGCGTATGTAAATACCAACAAATATAAGCTTCCCTGGGGTAATAGTCTTAGATGGGCTGGATGAGGTTGATGATTAGTATGGGTGTTTGCTGAGGCAGAGATGAAGGAAGTTGGTGGTGGCGGAATTTGGGGCGATATTGACTGGAGCTAGTTGCACGAAACCTGGGCGTCGCCCACGCTCAACGGATCGATACCAGTAGACACGTCTGATACCACGCTGCATCAGAAGTAAGCCAAGTACTCCGCACTAATAGAATACCTAGGTACTTTATGCAAGCACCGCTTATAGCGGGGCAAGCCAGCTTTCCGGCCGGGGCAGCCACTAACACCATTGACCCTACCCAGTACGTACGTGCAGTGGTACACGCAGTATCCAGTTTTATCCCTGCTATCCATACATGTGCTCAGATATGCAATCCCTTTGAATGTGCGAAGGTGCAGCTTTTATAGCGGACCCACCTTTTCTGTGATAAACCGTACCTTTCTTGCAACAAGATTAGCTACTAAACCTTTCACATTAAAATTATTATACTAATAACTTTAGCTTTTATAATAAAGCTAAAAAGTAATGTTATGAGTATTTTAAGTGTAGTCTTTGCTGCTTTTAGGGGATGGGCGCTTGGGGTAAGCAGGATGTGAAAATTCCGGAAATAGGGACCAGGGGATCGTTGCATCGACATGGACGTGTAGCTGCAAGTTGCCCCGAACTCGAATCCTCACCATTTTGTATGCGTCCTGTGCCGGCTCCGAGATACTGCACATGAGGCAAGAACACTGGGAAAAACTGCAGACCCAAAATTCCTTTGTACTTTGTGTTCCGTAACTAACACCCATGGAGACGGAAAATGGTCTTCGCCTGGTCACACAATCTTGAATTCCTGAGGCACGCCGTCTCCGTACGCTTGACATGTTCTTGGAGTAACACGACATGGTATTTTCCCCCCTTACTAATTGTAAACCGGCAGATCAAGACACGGCCAACCTGGACGAGCTAGACGAGGGCAGGGAATGGCTCATGATCCTGTCTCGGAGTGCTTGGCCACTCCAGGAGATGGCCATGGCTTCAACTTGGTAGACATTCCTATCCTCAGTCCTGCGGTAGTTACTAGAAAAAACGCCGGCGATTACAAGTATGATATTCCATTATTACACATAATGACTTACCAGCAGCCAGGCATCTCTGTGCTCCGGCTGCCGTGCCAATCAGTCCATCAACTAGCACCTACAAAGTTCAAGATGTTTGATCACGATGGACCCCGGTGGACTGTTTCTCTGTTATCTCAGGCCAGCCGGGATAGTATCTGTCGTCCTCAAAAGTTCTTTGAGCGGTTCCATTGCCATTGCCAGGCGTAAACTTGGATTACACCATGGTCTCACAAAATCTCAAGTGCCACCGTGCTGCGGGGGAGAATAATGAGAATCCGATTGGACTAGGTTTCCATTGTGACCAGGCACCTCGTGAGAGTCGGTGTATCTGTAAGTCTCAGCTTGGTGGCGATAATCGGGAGACGTTCTTGGACACCTGCAACATGATGTGCCTGACTTGCGCTCACAGCCTTGAGAAGGCAACCTTGTGAAAGCAATAGACTTGGAAAAGCAGCCAAGTAAGGACAAAGCACTTTCTCTATGGTATCTTGACTATAACGGCCACGTTACAAAACAGACGCTTCTAGACTAGGCGTCGAATCCAAGATTTAATACAAAATGCCTTCCATACAACTATATCGAATGTCTCACGAGCTAAAGCGGCAGTCGCATAATTTCCTGCTAGGTTAACTCTGATACCTAATACTGGGTAACGTTCAGGGACAGCGGTTAGGAGAAATGTGCCGTTTTTTTTTTTTTTGCTGAGAGGGTTTTGAGCTTTGGCAATAAAGCTGGCGTTGACGATAATTCCGATGAATCTTCGGGAATATCTACAACGTCTATGCAGCTGGTGGCCAGCAAGTTAAGGATGCACTCTCAACTTCAACCAACATGATAAGTAACATGATAAGTCGTAGGCGTAGATTGCTCTATGAAGACTACTAAAGCAAGTGTGTTTATCAGATCAGGCAATTAATGGTGGAACGGGCACCCATTGACTCATTGAACAGGACCGTAGGGCGCACGGGGGTGTAGTTATGAATCATGATGTTGCGAAGCTATTTCGATGCGCGGACCGCAAGTGTCCAGCAAAGCCCTTTGATCGTATGATGCGATTCCAAAGCTCTCGTCCAAGCTTTGCTCTCCTCGCCAAATCTACGCATTTGCATGCGGAGACAAGGCCGAGAACATTACTATGGCGAAGTAAACGGCGATGCCAACAGTGACACGGGAAGCCTCTCGCTTATCGCCTGTGGGACGACCTGGACTAAAAAGCGTCATCGACATGACCCTCATCACGAGTTTTGTCCACCGCCTTCAATTTTGGGCTAGACCTTCGCATGGACATGTCTGTGTGTGTGTGGAAGCAGAGCAGACGGAGTCACCAGAGCGGGCAGAGCTGGAGCCAAAACCTAGCGACAGCCCCGCAGGCTCTTTCCCTCTCTGCCCTTGGTCGCTCCTCCCACCATCGAAACCCCGCCAGCCAAGCAGGGCGCCACCAAAAATCTTCTTGCCACTAATTCATAATTCGTGCTCGTCCCGTACGGAGTAGCACAAGGTCCGTTTCCTACCCGTACATCTACGTCAGATCGACGTCGCGACCTATTGATATCTCATATCGCTCGTCTAGATCATCTTGCTGCGCTGTTCAATAAAGAATCGCATCTTCACAAATTTTGTTTTGCGCTTCATCATGGCGAGTGTCGCCGCCGCACCCGCAGGTACCGGCACCTCCGCCTCGCATCCTTACACGTGCAACACGTGCCAAGTTGCCTACCGCAACATCGACCTCCAAAAGGGTCATATGAAAAGCGACTGGCAGTGAGTTGTCTTGTTTTCCACGCCATGTTCATTCTCCTTGGACTTTGGTGATGTTTCTGAACCTTATGCTGACCCTCCGGCGTAGCCGATACAACTTGAAACGTCGCGTTGCCTCCCTGCCTCCCATCTCTTCCGAAGTCTTCACCGAAAAGGTCCTCCAGGCTCGTGCTACATCTAGTGCAGAAGCTGAGAAGGCCTACTTCGAGGCAAAATGCGAACCTTGCAACAAGACTTACTACAGCGAAAACGCCTATCAAAATCACTTGCTCAGCCAAAAGCACAAAACCAACGAGGCAGCTGCTGGTGGTCCACGACGCAGACAAGATGACGAGGCCACTTCTGTAATCAGCTCTACCTTTTCTCTGGGTGAACCTACCTCGGTACCCAAGGATGAGCTTGATACCGATGCCGAAGACGAGTTCAACCAGGTTATCGAAAGCCTGCAGAATGCCAAAGTTTCTGCCGAGCAACGTCCTTCGCCAGTTAGCAGGCCCTCCAACCCCAAGCCCACTGTTCCTGGCGCCAACAAAAATGGCGACGGTGAGGAAGACTCAGAGTCGACAACACCTTCACACTCCGTGGCCGAGCCTACTTGGACCTTGAACTCGTGCATCTTCTGCAACTTCGAGTCTCCTTCCCTGCCGCTAAGTGTTCAACATATGGAACGTTTCCACGGCATGTTCGTTCCCGAGCGGCCGTATTTGGTTGATTTGCAAGGTCTTATCAAGCAACTCCAGCGCAAGGTCAGTGAATATCACGAGTGCCTAGGCTGCGGTAAAGTCAAGTCGACAGTGTTTGGCGTACAAACGCACATGCGTGACAAGGGTCACTGCAAGATCCCCTTCAGCACCGAAGATGAGCAACTTGCCATTGGCGACTTTTACGATTTCCGAAGCACGTATTCTGATGACGAAGAGGAGGGTGAAGATGACGGCTCAGACACCGAGGAAGAGAGGCGCGGCGGCGCCAAGCTTGGCTCAAGAAGAAAGGCCAGACTTGTTGGTGAGGATGGAGAAGAGCTCGACGGCGAGGAGGATGGAGAGGGGTGGGAAACAGATAGCTCTGCATCCTCGCTTGACTCGGCGGATCTCACTGCAGTCCCTGCCGAGGGTCACATTCATCAGTATGAACGTCTTAAAAAACATCCCCACCATTCAAGTCGAGATCCTCGGAATCACCACCAGGCAGACGGATGGCATTCGCGAGCACACAAGCATACCCATGCTGCATTCTATGACGACTACGAGCTGCATCTTCCTTCCGGCAAGTCTGTTGGCCACCGGTCACTGAACAAGTACTTCCGGCAGAATCTCAACAACTACCCCACGCCTGAAGAGCGAGCCGAGCGCCTTGCTATTGAGGGCCCCGAGTCTGGGGAGGAGAGCCATAAGAAGGATCGTAGCATCATCCTTCGCAACGGCCAGCGATACAAGAGGGATGTTGTGCCACGAGGAACGGTAGGCTTGGCCAACGTGTCGGACGAGAAGAGGCGGGCGGTGCGCAAGTCGGAACACCGTGGGCGAGACTTGGAGCAATTCACCACCAAGAGGACGGATTGGATGTATGGCAAGAGAAACAACAATCAGAAGCATTACTACTACCGCTTCGATGGCGGTGGTTAGTTGTGCAGCCGATATCAAAATAGACATGCCGATTTTGCAATGAAATGTTGGTTCCTTTACAGAGTAGTGTGGCTAGTTTTCGCCTTTTGTGTGACGTTGGGCTGAGACGTCTACTGGTTTCTGTCCCAACATCCTTGATGAGTGGTCTCTCTCAACAGCGACTCGACGAGAACAATACGGCTGCCAAGTACGACGCATGTTGGGTGCTCCGACATGTATCTGCGGGGCTCTACAGTGCCTTGGCCTAAAATAGCAGTAGAGGATGCTATGATATGACTGATGCATACAGGCTATATATGGCGTGGTTGGTGTTGGTTGCAAACATTGAGAATTTACCAGAATGGTGAGTGACCAACATTCCACCAACCTACTAGTACTCAAGCTGACCGCCACGGCCCAAAACATCAAGTTTGAATGAACCCACGTCACGTCACTAGAAAAGACATGGGCAACCTCATGAAGCGCTCACAATCCCAACAACCATTTTTGCGAGGTGATGTTTGGTCCCTGGAAATGTGACGGCAGCATCGCGGATATAATAAGAAACAAAGGTGGTTCCCCGGAACCGGGCAAGATCTGATGCGACATGGCTAAAATTGGCACTGACAGCAAAAACATTGAACGCCAGGGCCAAGGAAATCAAACTATCCAAGACTTGCCTGTGGGAACTCAACTCCTCTACGCTGTCGTTTGTCATTTCGGCAGCCACTCGGGCTGATGCCGCATCAAACCTGGTGCCCATCTGCCCATCCACAGACATCCACGACAGGGGCCAGCAAAGACGAAAACGACACATTGTGCATGAGTACGGAGTAGCTTTGAGCTTTTCTATTTGCGCAGCCTCGAAAACTGGGGCTGGGCTGAAAAATTGGAGGGTGGTATGCCGGGATTCTTGGTCAAAAATCAAGCTTGCTGACGGGACACCAAGCAGCCAGGGGGGACGAGCGGTGGCTGACCGGGGAAACTTGGCGAGATTGAGCTCCTGCAGCCAACGGTGCTGTAAATATCGTACAGCAGACGTGTTTCATTTTGAGCAGTTTTCCAACTGCATAGTGATTGTATGGCGTCGGGAACAAAGCCCAGCACAGGGTGGCTGGTCCAGGAGAGAAGAAGAGGAGAAAGAAAGGGACGGGTGACGGGTCGAACCTCATCACTTTATGAGCCGAGTCGAGCAGCTTTGCCGTCAGCCTTATTAAACTTGGTCATGACACTCTGTGCGCCAAGCAAGGATCGACCCGTTGCCAAATGTCCTGAAAATTTCCCGCCGGTAGTCATTTGACGCTGATGCCGTCCGCCGCCGTTGTGTCTGTAGAACGGAGCTGTAGTACCACCCATCTGGTTCATATTGGCTGTACCACGTCGGGCTTGTTGGTCCAAGGGACGTCGTCGTCGTTGTTGTTCCTCGCTTCCTAGTTCCCTGGGGACTTCACCTCCTCTCCGTTTGCATCTGCAAACGCATCCTTCGGTGGTTCTGGGAAATTCTTTCCTTTGCCAAACTCGGGCCAAACATCCTATATTGGCAACAATCGAAGAAGCGACCAAACATACAAAATGGCGCCAAAACAGACGCGACTGTTGTCTTCCTCTCTTCTTCTCGTCCTTCTAGCCATCCTTGTCCCGGGGTCGCTCTCATTTAGCAGCAACTTCGCATTCTACGCAGTGGACGCGCAACCTTGTCTATACAGCGCCTCCGATGCATCCAAATGCACTGGTACTGACGCACAGGACCTAAACAGTTGTCTTTGCAATAATGGCGGCGGCTTCATCACCAAAGCGGCCCAATGTCTTGGTCAGAACGGTATACAATATTTGGGGAAGGTGTATGACACCATGGAGGATGCCTGTTCAACCTCTCAGACGCCAATATCGGTTAGCCGGAACACGTTTCTGGATACTGCTGGTAAAGCTGCCTCTTCTACATCTTCGTCTGCCAGCTCAACTGCGAGTTCAACCACAAGTTCAACCGCTACTTCAACTTCAGGTGCAACTTCGACTCTCACTACCACGACTGGAAATCCATCTCCTACTCAGTCAAATCCAAGCAAAGGAGCCGACGTTGACAACAAGTCATCCGGTCTTTCGCAAGGAGCCATGATTGGTATTGCTGTCGGCACATCCGTAGCAGGTGTACTCGCCGTAGGGGGAATGCTCCTGTACTTTCGACACTGGCAAAAGAAGAAGGCGGAAGATGAAACCAGTCCCATGATGGCCCAGAATGACTACTACAAGCGTGGCACGGCGACGACATTCCCTCCCACGGAGCCATCCCCATCCCTTGGGCTGTCCGGACCCGACGCCAAAGCTTCATGGGGGTCGAGCCCGTCGCCTGCTTATCCGTCACCCAATCTCAACAAGTCTCCCGCACAATATGCCGGTCCGTACGCGGCGCCTACCCCTCAAGACAGCCCAGCGATGCACGGAGCCGCAAGCCCTGCATTTGAGATGGATGCATCCGCCACGTCTACTCCTGCGCCCGGCGAGGGACCGGTGGAAATGGAAGGATCTGCGCCTTCTACACATCTCCAGGTTCGGCGTTGAGGAATTGTCGGTGTTGGAAATTTCGTGGTTGCAATTTTAGCACGGCGCATTTGGGCATATCTCATGGCCAGCGATCGATGTTTGATGGTGCATGGCACATGAAGTGCGGCCTCAGTGTAAGCGTTTGGCCAATGAGTAATTTTGTTCATTTCTCTCTGTCTCTCTCTATGTTGTGTTTAATTTGATCCTAGTCATAGAGTAATTGATGAATATTAATGCGTGTCGTGTATTCCAGACGTCGGTGCATGATGTTTACCCGGCCGGTGGGATGAACTGGCAGACGCCAAAAATGGGCGCATTGGGCAAGAGATGAGAGATTCCAGACAGCAAGACCAACCAGACTTGACTCGACTGTGCTCAGTAGCAACAAAGTAGTTAACACAAGTGAACCTCGGCAGGAACGATGGGGTAGTTGCTCCTTCAACAATAGTGATTCATCACTCACCCGCTCCAGTCAATCGTCTTCCATTTGTCCTCCATTCGTCTTGCAAAACAATTCAAGAAATTGTGCATGTTACTGCAATTGATTATTTCGCATCCAGCGTTTTCACCAAGGCATCGACGTAAATTTTAGCGTTGTGACGGACATTATGTCGCAAGGCAAGCAGACGGTCCTCATTACAGGGTATGTACGAACTCCCGGAGCAAACGAGGAATATTGCAAATGCATCTTTTGCCTACAGGACCAGAATAAAACTAACACGAGCCCTTCAGTTGCTCGCCAGGAGGCATCGGCCATGCGCTCGCCCTGGAGTTCCACAAACGAGGTGCGAGACAGCTGTGACGTCTCAACTGGCGGCGAAAACTTACACTCTCCAGGCTGCCACGTCATTGCCACGGCCAGAAAGCCTGAAGCCCTCGAAGCCCTCCGAGACCTAGGCATGAGCGCGGTCCGACTTGAAGTTACCGATGCCAAGAGCATCGCAGCATGCAAAGCCGAAGTTGACAAGATCACTGGTGGCAAGCTCGATATCCTCGTCAACAACGCGTACGCCTTTTCACCCGTGCCTCTCACCAAACGCCGCATCAGTCCTACTCACATGACATAGTGGCCGCACGCATACCATTCCAGCCTTGGACATTGACATGGATGATGTGCGGCAGTCGTACGAAGCCAACATTTTTGGCCCCATGGCCATGTGCCAGTCTTTTGCAAGCCTTCTCATCGCAGCGCGCGGGCTCATTCTGCAGATTTCATCCGTGTCTGCCATCATGCCTTACCTATTCGCCAGCGTCTACGCTTCCACAAAGGGCGCGTTGAACTCGTACTCTCGAGTCCTGCGGATGGAGCTCAAGCCATTTAACGTCCGTGTGATGGTTGCCATGACGGGCACCATTCGCTCCAACATCATGAATCATTTCGACCGTGTGCTGCCTGAAAACTCGCTGTACAGGCCTGTGGAGGATGTGTTTGTGCAGAGATTGCGGTTCAGCCAGACAAGAGGGACTATGGATACGCATGTTTATGCGAAAAAGATTGTCAGAGAGGCGCTCAAGGGCGAGGGGTGGTTTGGCGGCTTGTTTGGACGGACCCCGGATTGGTATTGGGCCGGAGGGTTTTCGTATGGTGCTTGGATATTGGATACGTTTTGCCCGTCATGGTTGGCTGAAGCAGCGGTTGCGTGGTTTTTCAATGTTGGGGTGTGGTCGAAGAGGCTTAACACTGCGAATAGGAAGGATTAGTATAGTTGCGAATGCCTCAGGATGTGCCGGGGTAAACAGGCGCTTATGGTTCTAATGGCGTCGATGCAAATAAATGAGTGATATGGAGGTTTGTTACAGTCTCGCTTCAGACTTTCTCAAGACTAGGAGTCGTATAATTCGGCCCGGCCAGTTTCGGCTGACGTGTATTTCGTAAGCAGTCACTCTTCTGTCGACGAGTTGATGGTATGCCCCAGGCATTCTAGCTAGCCTATCCAACCCAATGGACGTTACTCCGCATAGTCGAGCCGAATCATTAGCTCCCTTGTTGTCCAGGGCAGTATATTTCTGGATGGTAAAATTGTGACAGACATGCCTCGGAGCTCACAGTGTAAAATCTCTCAAAATACGTCTCCATGGTCAAAAATGCTGACACCTAGTATCAACGTAAATTGTCGTAATATGGGATAGCTGTTCTATTAGTGGTCCCCGTGCCTCGTGGCAAACCAGCGTTCGGTCTGACCAATCGTGCGATATTCCTCTGCTCGAATCGCAATGAAATTGGGGGCCCAGACCTTGCGAATATCCGTCACACCGAGCCTGTAAACCAGGCAGCCATTCGACGTTATAGCCATGGATGGTACGGAGTATAGTCCCCGGAAAAAAAAGAAAAGGAGATGGGGTCGAGCTTTCCGCCTAATGTTGACACCCGGTTTGGCTGACCAGCTGCCCAAATTGACATACTACTGCATAGAAAAGCAGGTGTACGGAGTCGAATTTGGACATTTCATTTCAGCACACGCAAGGCTCACCCTAAGGCGGCTCGGCTCAGGGTTGCTAGACAGGCCCGATAAAGCGCCAACTCTGTGGCTGCGAGTCAGCCCGGGGACCCGCGAGCCCGTGAATCCTCGGCAAAAGGCGGACTCGGCTTCCAACTTGACGGCAGAGCTGTGTCAAGAACATTTTGGGGTTGAAAATCCACTCTCAATGTTTTGCGAGGGGCGTTTTCGGGACGGTTGTGCTGCAAGTATTCCAATGAGCCGGCGTCTTGTTTTGGAACAGCAAATGCCAATGGCCCGATCGTCGCCGATCCGACTTCCTAGTTGGGCAATATTTCGGCAGACAACTCCGCGATCCCAGCACCTGTTGATTGGCGCCGCGGAATCGGGGCCAGAAGTTGCTGCTGAATATAGACTGTGGAGGACGAAGACCCTGGGCCGCGTAAGTCTCTCGGCTACCGGGGTCGGCCGGCGAGGTTGACCCAACGAGATGAAGAGGCTGAATCACTGAGAGGATTTTCATTGACAACGAAGTATGGTACATATTTCCCCAGCTACTTCTGCATAGGCTCTCAAAATAATGCTGGCCTGCGCTTCCCTCCTCCCGTGGCACTCCGTTAGACAAGGCCTGTTTGTACCAACTTACCAAGTGCGTTGCCGTTTATAGAGCTGTCTGAATTATTCTTCTCAAAGAGTCCATCTTCTTTATAACGCATCACTTCTTTATATAGCAAGAACGCATATCGGCCAGCGCCATGGCCGACGCCGACCTGGCAGCGGCAGACTCCGCGTCAAGTCCCGGACCCTATGACCTCCTTTTCCTCCTCGACGCAACATTGTCGATGCACGACTTCATCAAGGGTCTCAACGAGGCACGTCCAAACATCCTCAGGATGGCTGCCTTGACCGACGCCTTTGAGAGAATTGGTGTCATGGCATACCGAGACTACTCCTGCAGGGACATCACATCCTGGTCGGGCTGGTGCAAGTCTCTTGACGACGCAGTCGACGGCTGGAACATGGTTGCGCAAAAGACAGTCCTGGATAAAGCAGCACATATAGTGACCCAAGGAAACGATGATACCCCCGAGGCATCCAAGATGGGGCTCGCATATGCCTACCGGAAGATGAGAGCCGAGGCCACAACCATCATCATCTTGTATACCGACGCGCCGCCCCATCTGAAGCAAGTCGCGGACCGCAATGGCAGAGCGGAGCAAGATGCCCTGCTTAAACCAGACAGCTACGGAGGGACGGGCCATCATTTCGCGGACTGGACTTCAGGAGCCAAGCTGATGCGAGACGGGGATAAGAAGGCGAGCGTGTTCTGCGTCCTGAAAACGGGCAATGTCGCCTCCTGGTCTGCGTACCAGTACCTTTCCGCAATGACGGGCGGGACGGCCTTTGTCCTCCCCCGAATCACACCCGACATCATCTCCTTCACGACCACCACAATGCTATTAACTTGGATGGGCACCGACGAGCGCCAAATGAAGAATGGCGTGGACGACCCCAGGGTGCCGCTAGAAGTCCCCGTCTACAAGCTGACCAAGAAGATATCCAATGCCACGACCGAGAACAACCCCAGACTGCGAAATTTCATGGCGACGAAGACCTCGGCGGTATTCAATGCGAATTCAGACACCAAGCGGGTCAGCATCAACGATCTCGGCACAGTCATGACGCGGCGCAGCCCTCCCGTGGGCGACTTTGCCGCGCGGTACAGCCGAGACGACAAGTACAAGGACCTGGTCGTCGCCCAGCTTAGGGGCATCTTTGAACAAGACGTGGTCGCCATGTCGCTCAACCCGGTGTTTGGCAGCCTCTGGCGGGCCGTCTGCAACGAAAGAGGAGGGAGAGACCGAGACGTGCTCGCGCCCATATTCGGATACCACGTCGGGAGGATCCAGAACACGCACAAGAAGGCGCAGATGAAGGCGTGGCTGGACAATTCGTACGACTACTCGCTCGCCATTGAGAAGGAGGTTGGCGAGGTTGCGGCAGAGCACATGTACCCCATGGTGTTTCTGGATCCCACAGTCGAGTTTGCCGGACGCGAGCCCGGCCAGAGAGACGAGAACCTGCGCCGGCTCGAGAGGAGCGAGCTGCTGGAGCGGTACCTCGAGAATCCGGTCGAGGCCAAGGTCAACTGGCACCCGGACAAGAGCCAGGCCGCCGTCGGACCGCTGGTGACGTGCAGAGAGTGCAAGTTCCCGCGGTCGGTGACCGTCATGGGCGAGAAGGGCGTATGCGGCATGTGCTGCGCGCCGTCTGCGGACTGCTGCTGCGTGGCCTGCACACGGCCTGAAGGCATCGACGCGGAGGAACGGCTCTGCGCCAACGTTACAAGGGAGGACACGGAGGCAAGCCGCGTCCCCTTGGTCGAGTGTGCCGTGAGAGACTGCCGCGCGCAGTACGTGATGTACAACCCGGCGCGTCTGCGTGTCTGGGCAAAGTGCTTCTACTGCCGGCATGCAGGGCTGAGGGGATGGCAAGATGGCGGAGGTGCATGGAAGGGCGCCCTGTGTCGAGTGCAGCCAGTGCCTCGGCAGGATGATTTGGCCTCACGAGTACCGCCCGCCGGGATTCAACCAAGAGACCTTCAAGTGTCCCGGCTGCGTGTCCGGCGTGCAGACGGTCGTCTTGCAGGAGACGACGCCGCGGCAGATGGAGGAGGAGAACGGCTGGGGGTGGCTACTCAGGAACGTGGACGAGGCTATCCAGCAGCCGTTCAACAGCCGGTCCATCTTCTACACGGCCAGCCACTGCGATCTGCAAAACATCTCTGCAAAGGTGGAACTGCTCCCCTCGTGTGACGGGACCGTCCTGACCATCAGGGGGAAGAAGGTGCACAGCGTGGCCGACATGCAGGACCGCCTCCGCCGGCACATTGAGGAGCGCGAATCGAGCCTCATGTCCTGCAGCCTCTGCTTCTCGGACCTCGACGCGTCCCAGCTCCGCTCGGCGTGTGGACGCTCCGGGTGCAAGCAGCGGATCTGCGCTGGATGCATCAAGTCGTGATACGGCCTCAACAAGCCCGGGCGCATCATCAACACGGCCGCGCTGAGGTGTCCGTTTTGCCGGCGTCTTCCTGCTGGCAAAACCGCGCGGAGACACCGCATCACGGACATGGGGAGCCTGGCCCAGGCCATGGAGGAATCGGGAACCTGGATCCACGCTTGGTGTAGTTGGTGCAACCATGCGAAGCAGTACGTCGAGAGGATGTGTGCAAACGGCGCCCCGGAGCCCGTGTACAACTGGCGATGTGAGGCGTGTCAGCCGGCTGCGGTGAAGCGCGGGGAGGGCAAGATTTGTCGTGGCTGTGGCATCTTGACGGAGAAGGTGTCTGGGTGCCATCATATGACGTGCTGGTGCGGAGAGCATTGGTGTTGGGCCTGCGGAGAGGCTCACTCGCCGATGGATATATACGATCACATGGCCGAGAGACACGGAGGTTTGGGCATTGAGGAATGGGGTTGTGAGAAGTTCGAGGCCGAGTATGAGACTGATGATGATCAGGCGTTTTGTTTAACGGAGTAAAATAGGTTGACGTGTAGTTTTGTTTAATACATGGGCTTGGTCTCAAAAACAGCTTCACGGTCTCCAGGAAGAACGAGGAGACACATGACAACAACATTTTGCCTGTCCAGGGGCTGGTTCTAGCTGGATTCTCGCTCGCGGTAGCAGCCATGGTTTTAATCCCTCCAAACCAGAATCCCCTTGGCATACAGACCCGAAATAATGCCCACGCCGCGCTTCGAATCCCTGGCCGCAGTGGCACTAGTGGGATATTCCGTGCCGGCGTACAGACTCTTCAGTCCATTGGCCTCAGTCCACTCGGCAACCCAGGACGTCCCCTTGCCGTGCTCACAGTACGCCTTCATGGCGTCGTCTGCCTTTGCCAGCTCGGCGGCGTCGTTGCAGACATGCCGGGTCATGGTAAACTTGGTCAGCGAGGGGAAGTGGGGGTGGCCAGCGATGATGAGCTTGCCCCCGTGGACGGACAAGTTATCCGGCAAAAAGGGCACCTGAATAGACGACCTGTACGAGAGAGAGCCGTCCCGGCGACGGTCGTAAAGGTACACGGCGCTCCGGCTGGTTGATGCCACGGCGACGGTGGTGCTGTTGAGCATCTCGACGCCGTTTGCAAAGGCAGCGCGCGCGACGACGCTGGCCTCTTCCACGTCGGCGGGCTTATCGGCGGACAGCTTGAGGTGCACGACGGTGCCAAGGGGAAGGCCGAGAACGAGCTCTGTACGTGCCAGGAGCGTCGACTGCTTCGCCAGGAAGTAGTGGTCGTTGGACACGTAGAGCTCTCGGCTGCCGACGAGGGCGATGGAGTTGGGGCCGTGGATGAGCGGGTGCTGGATGGTTCCGGCGTGCGAGGCCACGAGCTGATCCAGGTCGAGGTTGAAGATTTCGATGCTGGGACCGGCCTTGGCGTGGTTGGCAACGAACAAGGTGGATGTTTGCTCGTCGTATGCCATGCCTAGGGTGTGGAAATCGGCCTCGCCGGCAAAGTCGACCATGTCGACGCGTCTGAGAGAGCTGGCGTCGGGCGCAGAGGCATCTTTGTAATCGTAGACATAGAGATTGGCACTGACTGGATCGGGGAGAAAAACGCCCTAGGGTTGATTCGAGTTAGGGTTGGGCGGAGGGAGCGAAGCAAAAGTCAGGCAAAAGTGAGGATGCGTTTGTTATGGTATGGCAGGACGACATACCATGACCGTGTTCCAGCGCTCTCGTCCAGCATCGCAGGCCAAGAGAGCCACGCCGCTACTCTCCAGCACGAGCATATCCTCACAGCTTCTCACCCGGTCGACAAACTTAATCTCGTGGCGTGCAAAGGTATTAATCTCTGCCAGGCGACCCGGAGCGTTGGTATACACCATGACTAGCTCCCGGCCACGGAAATACAGGAGCGACGACAGCGCCGCCGTCAGCAGGACGGTCTGGTTTTCTTGGCGTCAATTGTGTTTTATTTTATTTTTGCAATGGGAAACGATGGCGTGGACCGGGCTTACCCAGATGGATCTCGAGTTGGGCATGGCGACCGCGACTGCGAGGTTGGCTGGCAATTGAGATGGGAGATGGTGAGAATGGATGAGCGGCGTTTGTGTAGTGGAAAAGAGGTGCAAGTGGAAGCCACGCAATACATGGCCAAGCTGGCGACACCCAATGCAAAGGTGGAATCTGCCGAATACTACACGAAACACGGCCAGATAATCAGCCGCGGTTGCAATCAACAACGTACATGTCCAAGTGCGGCTGTGCTGTGTTAAACTCGAAGGCGCGACATGTATGATACCAGACAATATGATGACTTCTAGAGGGAAGGGATGCCCAGCTGCCTCATTGCTGGCTGCACCGTGCCTTGTACAGGCCTGCAAATTGATCCGTCGGACGGCTCGATCGTGTCTCACAGAGACTCAGACAACTCAAACTATTCGACTCCGACCAGCATTAACTTATGCCGAGTATATAACTTACCATTTTACCGACAGGGACGGAAACCACATCGTAAAACCCTCCCTGCGTTTGCCTGTTGAAAGTGGGGAATCCCAGAATCCGGAGTCCGGACAATATTCACACTTCAACGCCGACATATACTGCTAATCGCAGCGAATAGACACGTTGATAGGGAAAACCAAGGGGAAGCTACTCACAGGAATTAAACCATAAATGTAATCATATCCAAGAGTTTTCCTCATTATATGAACGCCCCTAAAACCTCTCATCTCATCATCAAAGAGTCAGACGCAACTTATACTCAAATCATGGATCTGACGGTGGAGATGCGTAAGCTCTGACGGGTCCTTGATTCCGTCTCAACGAGTCAATCTCTTCATAGATATATTGATCTCCAATGTTGCCTGCAAGCTGATACGAAGTTGCCATCCTGAGACATGAAGCGTGTGCCGTCTGCTTCAGTCTTGAAAAAGCAGACCCTGGACGAGACCGAGCCCGAAATCGATATTTGATAGGTGTCTGATACACAAGGCGGATGACCAAGTCTTTCGTTCGAGAACCACAATCTGTAAAGGTGTGTATTTCATCGCAAATCCTTTGCTAAGTATTTCTTCTTTCAGAATATCTTGACAATTGCCGAGCCGTAAATTGTTGTCAGCATTCACATGTCCTTTGGTGCTGTGCTGGTTGTCTCGTTATGACCCTCATTTGTATTCTCTTATTCCCGACGTTCGCGACGGCGTGTCATTGAATCAATGCGACAAGAGCATGTGGGGGATTTGATTGCCGAATAGCTATAATCGACCATGTCATTTGATATTGCCAATCTGGTCCCAGATATTCTGCAATAGCGAGAACCTCCCGTCGAGGTTTTGAAAGAGAATAGGAAACATCATGATTTTTCGCCATGTAGTCGCAGCATGCTCACATATTTCTTGGGCCGCCAACAAAGCTCCAATCAAGCAGGCGGTACTTGAGTAAGCCTCTTGATCTTCTCCAGTATCATCGTCTCCGGGTTGTGAAAAGAACAAGTATGGGAATCGGTTCCTATTTGCCCCACAGAAAAGAACTGAGGGCTCGACGAACGCGGCAGACGACCCAGCGACCATATTAATCTTCGCTGTCGGGTCATCGCGAACAAATGGGATGCTGACTTTATACATGTTCATCGCATATTTGCAACCTCTGTGTGGGCGCATGGTAGGGCTCGAATGTTCGCCCTGATAAACTTGCAAGCGCATGGAGTGAAAGGATTACAGACGTGAAGCTTGCAGGGTCAGCAATTCCCCTCTCTAGAGAGCCGATGGCATTGCGATGCTGTTGGAGCGTCGCTTCAAGATATTGTGCTCCTTGACACTCAAGTTGTTCCGGTTTCCAGATGCCTCTGGTTATATCCATGTATGAAATGTGCAGAATGGACAAAGAGATGATGGCGTTGAGCAGAGGCTCTTATTCCATGGCTATGGACGGCACATCCACGGTCCAAATCTTCTTGATTTGGGGAAAAAAATATCCTGGTATCGTAGTGGTTACTTCTACGGTAAACTAGTGCAGCAATCGTATTTCTCTATAACGCCGATCGCGACTCTCTTCCGCTAGCATGTCAAGATTCTCAGGACCAGGACCTCTAGCATTCTGGCCGGTGGAGAGCCATCGCACTGATCAGCGTCAATATGTATATTAGCAGTACGGTTGTGTGGGTGGATATACTTACATTAACCCTTCGTGCCCGATAGCGAGCACATCCTGTTCGAGACTTTGTGTGGTAGAGACGTGGCATGTTGTTAATAGGGAAGAGTTGATGAACGCAGTATGGTGACCGCGTGCGTCAGGGTGAATGGTCAGTAGTTTGTGAATCTAACTTGCACCACAATTGAGAACCATGGCTTCCTGATTAGAACATTTGCAAGGCGCAGCCATGGTTGATGTTATGGCTGGCATCGTGTTGGCCAACAACATTGAAGTCAGACGTCAGCACGAAGCGGTGAAGATTGCTAGTGGGGGCAGGATAAATGCCAGCCAAAAGTATGAAATAATAGACATGAGCAAAGTGTGGGCGGAGCGCGACGGTTAACGTAGACTGGAGTCGGTATATCGCATTTGCGAGAAATCGCGTGATATTTCAAATGTTTACATTTGTGGTCGTGAAAAACCTACCTACGTCTATAGTGGAAACCACATTGTAGGTACCGTTGACCCTTCGGCAGGAGACAGATACGCTGGGGTTGCGCCTGCCTCTAGTGTCAAAATTGCCGATGATGCCCGCGGTTTGCCCAGTGTGAGGCCACAGTGCACATGGTGGCCAATGAACCAGCGGCACCAGTGACCTTAGTAATAGTCCCCAGGACGCTGACGTACTTCCTGTTTCAAGTTCCAACACTTCGGACGGTCTGGATGCCTGATGGGCCAATTGCCGTCTTGACTTTTCTCGATTCTGCTCCTCCATTCTGAAGTTGAACTCAACCCTTGGATCAATTAAATACATCACTAGTCTCTCGGATAGTGCTCTCTATTTTCCATCATGTCTCGGTTTTCGCATTACGACACCGATGAAGAACGACTTCCCGAGGGCATGCGTCGGGTTGGTTACGATGCCGACACTCAGGTTTACACCTTCCAAGACACAGACGGCAGTTACTGGGAGAGTGCCCCAGGCTGTCAGTATGGACAGCTAACACGCGTTGGCCACGGGCATCCGGATGATGCTGCCGACACCGAGCCCTTCTTGATGCCTCATGAGATTTCGCCTCCCAGGTCGTGGCGGACGGAGCTGATGCCACTTCTTAACTTTGGCGTCATTATCGGCGTGTGTCTTCTGGGTCTTTTTTGGTACCTTCATTACGCTGCATCTGGTGAAGATACTTCCCCATCGATCTGTGTCTCGGGCACCTCGCCATACACAGTCCAACAAGATGATACCTGCTGGGCCATTGCAAATGGACGAGGAATCAGCGTCGACGCTATCTTGAGCGCAAACGAGGGCTTAGACTGTGATATGTTAAGAGTGGGATCTATTATCTGTCTACCCGATTAGGCAGCCTTAGGCCCAGGCTATTCATGCCATTGCACTGAGGCTAGCATTAATTCCAATTTGAACTATGCTTCGCAATTGTGTTTGGAGGCAGTCACCGGCACAATTCTAATTTTGAGACGTAACAAGCAGCGTCTTTTACCGCCTAATAACTTGTTATTTATACCTAGAACTTTTGGTATGGGCAATTCATGAATAGGAGGTAATTCTTTCAGCCAGAATGTGCTCCTGGGCCAGGCTCTGATGAGTTCGGCACTGCCCAAGATACCACGACATGGCAGGCTCGGCAGGTCGAGTCCTATGTCACTCGCTGCGTTCGCAGCATACAGTCATTTAGACGTTTCTCAAACAGCATTTGATTTTTTGTTGGCAGCAGTATACTATCGCCACGAATGGTATTCTACCATACCTATCATTCTACCCCGTACAAAATTATTTGATCAGGCATAGTAGCCGGATTGCGGAATGGCACACAGGTTGGACAACAAGACGAATCGAATATTAGCAGACTTTACAAATAGTTCGTTTGGAAACCTTGGCCTTGGGGAGTTCATCGATCCTAGTTTCTCGTGCTGGTGCCAACAGAATTGTGTGTAGCATGTAAACGGAACTGAGTTCTGTGGTAGAGCTGATCCAAAAAGAACCAAGATCTTATATGAATACCAATAAACGTCGGCATCTACATACTTGATTCGCCGGCAGTGAATTATACCAACGTAACCTATACCGCTTGATGTTGCTCAACTATATCTTCTCCGTTCTTTACGACAAGCATGAGGCTCTTGTAGAGAGAATCCAGAGTACGGAGTACTCGGCACCCCAAATCAAACAAGGACCACTTTGCTTCTCCCTGTCACTTGGATGGAGTATGAAATGGTTCTTTGTAAAGCGAAAATTTTGACGCGTTTTCGGATACGCGTTGGCTGGCCCTGGTCCCTGCCCTCCCTGTCACGAGCGCTTCGTTGGAGGTGGCTGGGAAACCCCCGGACCCGGGACAGCCAGGGATTTCAGGAAGTACGGAGTAGTAAGTAGTATTTAAGGCAGAGAAGCACACCCCAGCGAAATCTCTGCCATTCTCATTCGATGTTTGGTGGCTCTGACGCCAATCCCAATACACCATTTATGCCGCCAGATACGGTGTCACCTCCAAAACTACAATACAACCAAGAGTCCATCAGCAGGGTGGCGTCCAGGGTTGGTCACAGCGATGTTGGCCATGTCTGCAAGATATGTATGTTCTCGCCACGGCAACGAGGTTGCGAGACTTGTGGCCAGGTTGTACTTGTATCATGCCTCGAGATAATAGGCATGGCCAGGCCGCGTCCAGACATTTGAACGACATAGCCCGCTCTGAGACCCTAGACATGGAAGACCAACGGCAGCGGCCAATCTGGGAGAGAGCGACAATGTTTCCACATCTACATCGGATGCCCACTGGAGATTGCTAGGCTTCAATGTTGATGAAAATGTTGCAACTGTCAACTGCCCAGATGATCCGCCAGGCCGCAATCTGCACGTTGCCTGCCTGGCCTTGGGTTAGGAGGCACTGGGCCTTTGCCCCTCATCGAAGCGGGGCCCAGAGGTCCCTTGGCTGGCGTCGCCTGGTGGCTACCATAATAATTTTTTTTTCTGCCGCGATATAATTTCGAGGGGCAGACCACACTTTTTTTTCTTCACCGTCTCCTCACCTGCCATCTTTTCTGTTCTTTTCATACTTTGTCGAAGAGCGTTGCATAGCGAAGCGGCAAAGATGAATAAGGATCAGCTTGCTCAGTTACTGCAGGCCAGTCAAGTTCGTAAGTGCCTCCGTGCTGCTGTTCTATTCCACCAGCCCTCAGCTGTGGTCTTGGATCAATCACTCTCCCCCCCTTGTCCCTTTCATCATATTCCCAGTTTCGCTCGACCTGGACGCGTCGTGAATCAACGAGCTTCATTCATCCTCGATGCCCCGCTCGTTTTCTCCGAGGCTTCGTTTTAACGCAGTACAAACAGATGCTTCAAAGCCGACAGTTTGCTAACACATGCTCTCAACAGCCAACACGGAACAGGTCAAGGCCGCCACAGCCGATCTCCAAAAGAACTACTACTCCAAGCCAGAGTCGCTCATCTTGCTCATCGAGATTGCCCTCACCCATGAAGATGGTACCGTCCGACAGCTTGCCGCCGTGCAGGCCCTGCGACTAGCCCCAAGACATTGGGACAGCACTGCTCAGGACAAGAAGCCTTTGGCACGTTCTCACCTGCTTGAGGGCGCTCTGAAGGAGACCTCTGCCACTACTCGCCACGCCCTCTCCCGTCTCGTTGCCGGCATTGTCGGTCTTGACATGGAGAATGGCGATGCTGAGGAGTTCCTCAAGCAGCTCCTGCCTCTCAACAACAGCGACAATGTTCAGTCAAGAGAGGTGGGCTCTTTCATCCTCTTCTCCATGTTGGAGGAGAATCCCCAGCACTTCGAAGAGCACACCCATCAGCTCCTCCAGCTCTTCCAGTCCCGCATTGAGGATGCCGAGAGCAAGGAGGTTCGCATCAACATCGTCCAGGCTATTGGTGCCATACTGATGAATATTGACCCTGAGGAAGACCCTCAGTCGCTCAAGGCTGTTCAAGGCTTCATCCCCAACATTGTCAACATTCTGAAGGCTGCTGTTGAGGCTGAAGATGAGGAGAGCTACCAGACCATCTTCGAGATCTTCCACTCTTACTTGGCCTGTGACCCCAGCTTCCTGGCCGCCCACCTTCGGGACCTCCTCCAGTTCATGATCAACCTCAGCGCCAACACAAACGCAGAGGATGACGCTCGTACCCAGGCCCTTAGTCTGCTCATCCAGTGTGTCCGGTATCGTCGAATGAAGATCCAGGGCATGAGAGAGATTGCTGCCGAGCTCATGATCAAGGCTATGCAGATCATCACCGAGCTCGATGATGACGATGAAGATGAGGACATGACTCCTGCTCGCACCGCCATTAGCCTAGTCAACACTCTGGCTAGCGAACTGCCCCCTCGCCTGGTCGCTGTGCCTATGCTTGACCAGTTCCCCGCTTATGCTGCTCACTCAGAGTCGGGCTACCGTATGTCTGCCATGCTCTCTCTTGGAAACGCTGCTGAGGGTGCACCTGAATTCATATCCACTCAACTTCAGCCTCTTCTGCCCACAGTGATCAACTTGTTGTGCGATTCGGATATCCGTGTCCGACATGCTGCCCTCGTTGGTCTCATCCATTTGGCTGAGGAGATGGCTGATGAGATGTCTTCACACCATGAGCAAATTATTTCTGCCGTCTTGAAGAATCTCGAGTCCGCTTCGCAGGGCACTACCGATAAGAAGAACATCAGCATTGTTCGTTGCGCCTGTGGTGCTCTCGACACTTTCGGCGATGGCATTGACACTAAGATCATGGCCCAGTATGGTCCTAATCTTATTGGACCCATGATCAAGCTTCTCGACCATGAGGACTATGGCGTCAAGGCTGCTGCTGCCTCTGCTGTTGGAGCTATTGCCTCTTCAATGGACAAGGAGTTCCAACCTTTCTTCGAGGGCGCTATGAAGGCCCTCGGACGCTTCGTCATGCTCAAGGAGTCCGATGAGGCCATGGACCTCCGCAGTGCCACATGTGACAGTTTAGGGCGAATTGCCATTGCTGTCGGCCCTCAGGCTTTCCAACCATATGTTGTGGACTTGATGAAGGCAAGCGAGGAGGCTCTACACCTCGATAACCCTCGCCTGAAGGAGACCAGCTTTATTCTGTGGTCGAATCTGTCCAAGGTCTACGGTACCGATTTCGATCACTTCCTCGAGGGTGTCTTCAAGGGCCTTTTTGCTTCTCTCGAGCTCGAGGAAGAGGAGATTGACTTGCCCGGGGTTGACCCTGGCCAGCTAGCTGAGGGTGCCATTATCGGTGGTAAGCGTGTTAAGGTCAAGGCTCCTAGCTCTGAGGAAGATCACATCATCGCCACCGGCGGTGAGGACGATTGGGAGGATATGGATGACCTTGCTGGTCTAGAGGATTTCGGTGCCGTCACTGCTGTTGCCCTCGAGCAGGAGATCGCTATTGATACCCTTGGCGACGTGATTTCGAACTCTTGCAACACAAACCACCTGGAGAGCTACGTCGAGAAGTCGATCGAGCAGATCATTCCCTTTGCCGACCACACCTACGAGGGATGCCGCAAAAACGCCATCTCCACCCTTTGGCGCATTTATAGCCGGGTATTCCAAGTCTGGGAAGAGAGCTCTGGCTCTAAATGGCAGCCTGGTATGCCTCCTACCCCTGCTCCTCCCGCGTCTATTGCCAAGATTGGCGAGGCTCTGCATAAGGCTACCATGGACATCTGGACCAGCGACAGCGACCGGTACGTATTCACTGCATTTTGTGTTTTGTTTTGTGGCTTCTATCTATCCCTTCCAAAATGATGAATACCTTGCGTTATACCCAGCTCACTCAGACGCAAAATTGCGGGTGCTGAGAAAGCGTTTAATCTACTACTGATTTGGAAATAATTATCCGCATAATCCTTCTTTATCCTTGCCATCTGTTGCCACACTAGAGGCTAACAGCAAGATAATAGATCCGTAATCACCGAGATCAACCGAAACATCGCTGCCACTTTGAAGGCTTGCGGCCCTGCCGTTCTCGTTGTCAAGCCCGAGATGCTCCAGGAGGTCGTCTCCGTCGTTGGCTCCATCGTCACACGCTCACACCCTTGCCAGCAAGATCTCGGTGCTGAGGACGAGGAGCAAGAGATTGATGCCGGCTCCTCTGAGTATGACTGGCTGGTCGTCGACACCGCGTTGGATGTTGTCTCTGGTCTGGCCGCCGCTCTGGGAACCCAGTTCGGCGAACTATGGAAGATCTTTGAGAAGCCTGTTCTCAAGCTAGTCAGCTCGACTGAGGATGTGCACCGAGCAACCGCTGTTGGCACCATTGCCGAGGTCGCTAAGTACTCTGGCGAGGCCATCACTGAGTTCACCGAGTCTCTGACCCAAGCTCTGGTCCGCCGCCTGTCAGACCACGACCAGCTGACCAAGTCCAACGCCGCGTATGCCCTTGGTCTCCTCATCCTCAATTCAAACGACACCGGCAAGACCATCCCTCTCTATCCCCAACTCTACGAAAAACTTGAGCCCATGCTGTCCGTGCACGAGATGCGCATCACCGACAACGTCGCCGGCTGCCTGTGCCGCATGATGATGAAGCACCCCGACAACGGATTCGTGGCGCAGGCCTTGCCCACCATTGTCCAAGTCCTCCCTTTAACTGAAGATTATGAGGAGAACGAACCCATCTTCCAATGCATCTATAAGCTGTACGAACAATCCAACCCTACTGTGCAGCAGTTGACACCCCAGCTAGTCGGCATCTTTGAGAAGGTCCTGGGAGAGCCTGAGGAGCAGTTGGAGAAAGATACCCGACAGATGGTGCAGCGCATGGTGCAGGCCTTGAGGCAGTGAACTTTGCCTGTAATGTGAGCTGAAGCACGATACGTATGAAGGAACTGTTTTTTTTTTTTTTTGCCAAGAACAATAACGCCCGAGGCCATGAAGATATGACTATACTTGATGAGATTCGCGAATCAATGACAAAAGTAACAGGGGCGGTAGCGATGTAAAAGTTGAAAGACGGGTTAGTTGACCGGTTAATAGAAATTGTGTACGCATTACACCAAACTGAGGATGTACGGAGTGACGAAATTCAAGTAAAGCTTTCCATCATTGATTGACGTGATGTATTATCGCTCGTGAAGTAGATCAGGAACGTCATGCACAAAGGGGCGAGCAGAATGCATCTTCTATGTTATTCTGTTGCGCAGAGCCATGCATCAGCCACCATGAAAAGCGTCAAAGTGGTGGCGTGGACAAAACGATACTATTCGTATACCATACATGTTATACAAACCCCAAGCTACCATATCCTCTTCGTTTTGAGGAACTGTTTTTTTTTTTTTTTTGCCAAGAACAATAACGCCCGAGGCCATGAAGATATGACTATACTTGATGAGATTCGCGAATCAATGACAAAAGTAACAGGGGCGGTAGCGATGTAAAAGTTGAAAGACGGGTTAGTTGACCGGTTAATAGAAATTGTGTACGCATTACACCAAACTGAGGATGTACGGAGTGACGAAATTCAAGTAAAGCTTTCCATCATTGATTGACGTGATGTATTATCGCTCGTGAAGTAGATCAGGAACGTCATGCACAAAGGGGCGAGCAGAATGCATCTTCTATGTTATTCTGTTGCGCAGAGCCATGCATCAGCCACCATGAAAAGCGTCAAAGTGGTGGCGTGGACAAAACGATACTATTCGTATACCATACATGTTATACAAACCCCAAGCTACCATATCCTCTTGGCAACCATCTCGTATCTCGCGACGCCCATGTAATCGCCGTCCGGCTTCTTCCCACCTTTGTCATCACTCTTCTTGCCTCCGGGGCCCTTGCCGCCCTTCAATCCCTCCGACTTGTCGGCGTGTATCCACCGAGCTTTGTCATCCGTAACTTCGACGTCTCCTCTTCCGCCGACCCGTCTGCCCGTAGCATCGTACGATTCTCGTTCTGCTTTCCCCAGCGCGACCAGGCTTTCCTTTTGTTTCATCTTGGCGTATCTGTTTCGCGAGTATTGGAGGAGGACCATACCGAGCAGGAGTTTAAGGATGAGGAGGACGAGGAAAACAATGAAGAAGACGACGACCATTGTTAACGCGGCGACGAAGTCATCGGATGTCCATGAGTACCAAGGACGGGAGTTGAGCGGTGAGCCGTAGGGGTAGCCGTATGTGGCACGACCGAGGGAATCGCGGATCAGGGCGTCAAATCGACTTAGTGCAGCGATCATGGCGGGTGATGAGGGCACGGCGGATTCTTCAGTCAGAGAGGTTTGCGTGGATGGCGGGATAGGCATGGGCACATGGGTGGCCAGAAACATGTGGTAGGTTTGTATGGAGGCGCGGATAAAGAGGCATGAGAGCGGGATGACCGCCAGGCCGAGTCTGCGCGTGAGCGAGGGGGTGACGAAGGCCTAGAAGAAGTGAGATTAGGTGTCATGAACGCGACGGAGACACAAAATGTGTGCACGTACATTGGTGTAGTAGTCTTTGCACAGAATGTCCAGTGTTCTCCCGTAAAAGTTGGGCTTGATATTGTTAAACTTGGTCACATACGCATGTTTTATCGCGTCAACCAACATCTCACTTCCAACAACAATCAGAAAAGGTGACAGCGCTTCGCCCGACCTCAACCACGACGGCAACACCGTAAAACTATGTGGCAAGATCGACGGCGGGTGCAACGGCACCGCACTCGAGCTATCTTCGTGCGTCGAGTCGAAACCCGCTCCGGGGACAGAGAAAGCACCTACTTCAACGATGTTGCGCATGCCGATGATGAGAAGCATGATCCAAAGGTGGAAGCGCTCCACAATATCGGCACATGTCAATTGGAAAAGATTGTCCTTCTCGAAGCGTTTGAACACTGTGCTTTTGATTTCGACAAATTGGTTGGATAAGAGGAGGGTGAGAAGAGCGTTGGAGTATGAGTTGACGGCGACGTTGAGCGTAATGACCTGGTAGTAAAGCGCAATGGAGTGTAGACAGTTGTACACCAGGGCGAGGATGAACATGCCGAGCGGCAAGAGGATCTTTGATCGACCAGAAGGGTTCCGTGACAGGGTTTCGTTGCTGAACAGACATTCTAGGATGTCTTGGCCAAGGGCCGAGAGGAGACGGTCGCCAACCTCGAGGATATTGTATATTACGTACAGCTTGATGGCGGATTGCGCCCGTATAAAGTGGTACATGCGGCTGGCATCGAGAGTCATCAGAGCAAATGAGCTACAAATGATGACGGCTCCCTGTAGTAAGTCTGCTTTGTGAAATGCTGATAAGCTTGAAGGAATCGACTTTGTTCTTTTGTGACGAAAAGTGCCTAGTTGTGGCACAGGGTGTCGCTTATTGGGAAGTGGTGATTTCGGCCCCTCATGGCCATCGACATGCAGGTCCGTATTCGTGTGATGGGATCGGTCCCGGAGGGCCGGCGCAGACACACCTCCGTCGTCATTCAACAGCTCCCTCACACGACTGCGACTTCGCGAATGGTCTCGGTCAGAGACATCGCTGGGCCTACGGGATTGGCTCGTTCGCCCACGCTCCCACAGTCTGCCCAATCCATCTCGTACATATCCAAACAGCCATCCAGCCTCCTTGGATATCACATATCCCCACCATTTGATCAAGACACCAAACGCCATGAAGAATCGTATTGGAAGGATGGTGAAGGTATACAGCCACGCATCTAAACACGCCAAGGCGCCAAAATACAACGTCCGCTCCAGGTATGGGGGGAGTAGTAGAACATTCTTCAACCGTTCCAGTTTGACCGCATAAGACTCGTACGGAATATCATTTAGATAGGATTGGTGAATATATAGTGGGCTTGGTCTCTGGGCTGCAAGCTCTAGCTGCAAGTGTGTGGGAAGTGACATGGGTGGGAGAGGGATCATGGATGGAATAGGTGACGGTGGGCTGGGGCCGGTATATCCTTGACTAGGAGCAGCTGCGGAAGCCTGCTGTGTATTTAAAGCTGCTGGGCTTGTCGCGATGGCCGGCGACAGCAGATGTCCGTTGAGAGGGCCGTTGGCCGCTTCTCCATTCAAGTTGAGCGGCGTCGGTCGCGGCAGGGTATTGTATGAATATCGTCGAGGAGAAGCAGGCTGCGAGCGACTATCCGAAGCATATTGCTGAGCTCGAGACGTCGGTGGCGTCGACACAGTTCGCGGCGAGCATTGTCTCTGGGCCCCCTCTCGCACATGCCAAACCCCAGCATGTCCAGGCCCAGCACAAGATTCGACTGCCGTCCCGTTTGTCTGAAGCTTGTCTAATCTTCTCGGGTCCGTAGAACGTCTCTGGATGCGTTGTCGAAGTATTTCGCGTTGCTCAACAGTCTTGGCTGCCATTTCCTGGTCTATCGAACGGCGTTCGGGAGCTGGCGCAATTGGCAACGAGTCTGGCGAGCTTGTGAGCTCCTGCATCTCAGCAGCGGTGAGTCGGTGCACGCCGTCACTTGTCTTATTCGTGGGGCTGCTCGTCTGTCTACGTCGAGACTTGACGACGGACGGGGTGCGAGATGCATGCATCCCAGCAGGAGAGGTGGCCGTGTCAGAATCATGGTCGAGAGCGGCGGCTGGGTCAGGTAACGAGGGGAATTTGGCTCGTCCTCTGCCCGAGTCGTCTTCGGATGCAGATGGCTCATCAAGAGCTGTTACGGGCGGCGAAGGATATCCATGAGACCCATGGCCCGGGCCAGTAGACGAAGATGGTGAGAGGGGGGCTGTGGTGGAAAGCGGCGACGAGAGGTGGGTGTTGATGGGATCCATGATTGCTGCCATTGCGGCGAGACCCTTTATGACATGGCGTGCGGGTGCATGGGGACGATGGCGGGTTGCAGAAGTATGAAATTTAACCGTAGCTGAGAGGGCGCTGATGTCGATGGTGATGTCGATGCTCGTGTCGGTGTCGTCGAGATGGTGTATTAAAGCTCGAGATGCAATTGATGTCAAGTTACTCCGTAGACGACACTAGGTCCAAACGGGCCAGCTTGCAGGGCAGCCAGCAGTCTGGTGCCTGGGGCAGGGATCAATCATTAGCGCGCCCAATTGGTGCTGACTGCCAGCGGGAGCGGGAGCGGCTACGGCTTGGGCCTCAAAATTACCTCGAGACATCAATCCGGTGTAAATCAGCTATTGCCATTCATCGTCGCAACTTGACAGAGTCATCTCGCCATTCTGTTTCATTTTTCTTCTCAGCTCGCTAGGCCATTATATCACATCGGTCAGCCTGCCCCCTCAGCCACACTGTTCTCGGCATCCAGCTCCAAACACTGTACATTGGTATCCATCTACGCGTCAGTTCGTCAATTTTTCACAGAAAACCGAGCAAAGCCTTTTGAATTACCACAAATAAAACAGCCCATGTACTCCATCCTTAATGGTCCTCCAGTAGGTAGTTATCGAACCAAGCCACTGCCTGCAAGAATGCCTGCTCCCTGGCAAACTTTTGTACCTTGACCTTCAAATCAGCACGAACAGCAAAGCCGTGCTCCACCCCAGAAAACAAGTTAATCTGATAAGGCTGCTTGGTGGCCTTGAGAATCTCCTCAGATTTGTGCCGTTTGTCGGAGGGGAATATGCTGTCCGTCTCCGCGGCAGCAATAGACAAAGGACCGCTAATGGCAGCGAGCTCGTCCTCTTCGACAAAGGAGGGGTGTGCGACGAAGCCGACGTTGATGCCATCCTTGTAGTGGCGAACAACCTACTAATAATCGAGTTCAATTAGCGAGCCAGATCCGGACATAAAAAAGAAGAGAAGAGAAGAGAAGAGAAAGAAAGAAACAAAAAATCAATTACCTTGGCACCGAAGCAGTAGCCAACAGCTCCGAGTTTCGTTACTCCCAGCCCCTTGATGTATTTAATACCAGCCTCGACAATGGGGTCGACATATGGCACAGTATGGGGGTTGTTTCCATCGGTGCCCTTGTTCAACCAGGTCATAATATCGAAGCCCTCGGGCTTGTTTTTCAGCTTGACAGGGTCGCCGTTGAACAGGTCAAGCACGACGGTGACGTAACCCTGCTCGGCAAAGAGGTCTGCCATCAGCTGGCTGTTCTGCCAGATACCAATGACATCGGGAAGGTAGAGAATTCCATAGCCGTTGTGGACTTTGCCCTCGGGAGGAGTGGCGACGTAGGCTTCGATTTTGTTGTCGATTTTGGTGAGCTTGCCCGTGGGCTTGCCTCTGCAGACAAGTTTAGCAATTTAGCGACCGCCCTAATAACAATGGTACAGTGAAAACTACAGTGTAGCAATCAAGGAAGCAGGGAAAGGCTGCATATCTCCGAATTGGGACGTTTTGTCCTGGAGGAACATGCGGGGGAGCTTCGACGTACTCAAACAAGCTTCCAAGAGTGCAGCATCTCGCCGGGGCGTTGGAAGCCATCTTTGCTTTTTTTTAAAAAAAAAAGAGAGAGAGAGAGAATGAGTCTCCGCGATTGACTATATGAGCCGTCGTGAGCCGTTTCAAGGTTCAAGCTTCGTCCCGTCAAATAAAATAAATGGCCACACCAAGGTTCTGACGGTCGAGGAAACTAAGATGCATGGAGCCAAGTGGGCAAGCTCGCCCTCTTAGCCTTCATTGTTCCTTATCAAGCCGCAATACCTACCCCTCATGTCTTCCGAATCTCCCGCCACGACTAACTAACCTGTTCACACGGAAATGGATTGTACATAAGCATCCGCGTTGGCCAGAACCCCGTGGTGCTCCGGAGCCCGCCCCTGGCCGGCCATGAATACCCAGTTTCAAAGCACTCAAGGATTTTGTGGTTCTTAAGTCCGGATGCTACTCCAGACCTGCCGATGCCGAAACGGAACCCGCCCATGATCCATCCAGCTATTGCGATTCAGGGTCCACCATAAGTTGCATGTTGGAAGAAGCACCCTCAATAAGTTTTTGTCAATTTTGTTTTTTTTATTTAAAAAATGACGACTTGCGATTTTTAGAAACCCCCCCCCCCTTTTTCCATGCGCTGTCCGAGATCGGTGTCAGCTCGCTCTCATCGGAAATGAGCCGGTCGGACAAGGTGTGTAACTGAGCGGATCATGCCAGTATTAGGATTTAAACCAAAATCATCAGAGACGATAATTGACTTTTCTCTATAAGTCGTCTAATCGTAGTGTCATTGACTTCAGAAGGTGTCGTTTTATTCCATGTTCCACAACATGCTGGGTATCATCAATATACAAATCTACAACAGAGAAAGCCTTCTCCCCTTACTTGGTCCGTAAGCTCTTTGGTTTCCTCTTCTTAAACACCACTGGCGTAATCCCAGCATCACCGTCTCCCTCCTCCTTGACTCTGGCTTCGCCTTCCTCCTCTTTGGCCTCTCCGCGCAGCACGCTCGTCCTAGTTTCTGGTTCCGCTTTAATAGCATCCTCTTCCGCCTTCACTTCATCCTGATCCTCAGACTTCACATCGCCCCCCTCGGCTTTCTTCAACTTTACCGTCCCACTCAACAGCGCGTCCAACTCTTCGTCTTCCCCCTCCGGCATCTTCCTCGAATCCCTCCCCCACCTCCTCGGCTTCTTGAACAGCCCCTTCACAGCATCCTCCTCTTCCTTGTCCTCCTCCTTCTCGTCTCTCTTCCTCACCCCAGTCGCAACTTTGTCCGCTTTCCTTTCATCGTCGGCTCCTCCATCTCCCGCACCCTGAATCACCCGGGTGCTCGTAACCGTCCATTCACCAGGTATGGCCATTTCGCCTCGAAAATCCTCTGGTACTGCAACGCCCATCTGCGCCAACTGTTCACGCTGTTGCTTCAGAGAGGATTCCTTGGAGCTGCTCCCTGGTGCGGAAGCGCGTCCCAGCCGCGACGGGCCCGTCGAAGAGGTCGTAACGACTCCATTTAAGCGATCGATTTCGCGTCGCGCTCGTTCCTTGTCGCGCTCTTCTCGCTCGTGGTTGCGGTGTAGGTCACGGAGCGATCGCTTGATTGCGTTTTGGTGCTTGGCTGTGGCTTCGTGGTTTTGGCGCTCAAGCTTGGTATCGCGCACAAATACGGCGCAGTGCTTGCACCAGTAATTCGGTGACGCTTTCCAATATTCAGTCATGGTGTGTCGACCGTAGTTGTTTGGGTCAAGAGTACGGAGTAGTTGAGATGTAAATGTCGGTAGCCCACTCAAGCGATTCCTGCCTGTACCTCTGTTTCTTTATTACGTAATCAAGCTTTGCAGCTTCTTCTAGAGCTTTACAAAAGACAGCCGAACTCACAACCTTGCGGTTCTTACTAGAAGCACAATAAGGCAAAAATTCTTGACAGCATTGATTGCCTTTAGACAATGAGGCAGCAGTTCCTAATCTTACTGCGCAACTACCCTAATTTGTGTTTACAGCATATGCATTATCCTTCGCAATTTCATCAAGTCCAATGTCTCGTAAATGCACCCAACACCAGCAAGGAAAGAAAACGCTCCGGTTCTCCCCAGGGGATGTGATTAAAGGTCAGCCTTCTTTCGACAACAACATTACACTCATATATTGGGGAAAACAGCAAACCACCGTTTACTTTCCTAAACAGCAGAAGCAAACTCCAGTCCTGTGCCGTGTCAATTTACAGGTAAAGAGCGGCACCGAATACGGCAATCACGGCGGCAGCGACGCCAGGGAAAGCCTTGTTGGCAGCGGCGGTAGGGGCGGTGGTAGGGGCGGCGGTGGGAGCCTTGGTAGTAGCGTTCGTGGGAGCCTGGGGCTGTCCATCCGAAATCTGGGTCACAGGTGGAGGAGAAGCCTGGGTCTGCGTAGGAGCTTGAGGCTGTCCATCTGAGATCTGGCTGACGGGTGGAGGAGAAGCCTGGGTATGTGTGGGAGCTTGAGGCTGGCCGTCCGAGATCTGGCTAACAGGAGGGGGAGGTGCGGCTGTCTTGGGAGGAGCCTGAATCTGTCCATCCGAGATCTGGCTCACAGGCGGTGCAAGGGGAGCCGCGGTCTTCGTGGGAGCCTGAGAAGGAACTGAGGCACAAGGAGTTGTGCGGACCTGAACCTGACCATCACCAATCTGGCACATGGGGACGGGCACGACCGTGGTATGGACCTGAGGCTGGCCATCAGCGATGACAGTGACGATAGTAGTCTGCACCATACTAGTGCCAACAGGCTTGGCGCCATTGTTGCCACCACTACCGCCGTTGTTGCCGCCATCGCAGAATGTAGCAACAATGTCGATGGGAGAGCACTGATCAGCCCAGTGGCGGTCATAAAGGTTGTAGAAGTTGCCAGAGAGGCATCGGTAAAACTCAGTAGAACCATCAAGAGCGAGAGAGCCGTTCTGGCAGACCGAAAACCCCGAGGATTTGATGGCGTTGGCTTGGGGAGGGGCGTCAAACTGGAACTGATAGTTGGAGGCAATGTAGCCAGTTCTGTCGTGGGAATCCTTCAAGACGCCGTCCTTAAGAGTCATGACCAAAGTGCCTTCGCCCTCGCAGGCTCGCTTCTATGGGTTGGTTAGCGACCATGGCCTGATTCTCATGGTCCCCAAATCCACAACCGCGAGTACAAGAATCGGCTTACCTCAATGCTGCGTTTCGCGTCACCACGAGAGTAGATCGAGACCTGAAACTTGCCGTCACGGGAAGTGCTGCAGCCAGCAGGCGGGCTGGCTGCCATGGCTGTGGCCGCGAGGCCAAAAGGAACAGCTGAGATCCACTTCATTATGCTGCTACGGTGTCTGTTAGTTATCAAGAGGTCTGGAGTAGGGGGATAGGAAGTCGGTGATGGAGGTGCAAGAAGGAAATAGGGAAAAGCTGTGCTGCGGCTGTCACATACGAGCAGCTAGGGAGCAGCTAGCTCGGAAAGTGGTAAAGGTGAGAGGGAAGTGAGTAGAGAGTGACTTCAAGGTGACCGTAGCCTCCGGTGACAAGATAGGGCGTACCTTGAGATTATGATAGGCCGATAATTCGAATTCGCAAGGGGTCAAACGCTCAAATCGAGGGACTGGTGGTCAAACGAGGAGTGCTCTTGAGGGTACACAGGATCAACCCTAAACGATAGATCAATTGTCTTTCCCAACGATAGACGGGATAGATCAATCCAAGTGAGAAAGGCAACAATGTGAAGCACGTGTCAGCGACTGAAGATCGGACAAGCAGTGAACTGAGAAAGGAAGAGAGGTAAGTCAGATTTGGACAAGGGGAGGGTGGACACTGATATAATAGTCGGTTCCCATCTCCTCGTGTAATAGATGATGTAGGATCGAGCACAGCCATCCATTTTCCCGGGACAGCTTGTTGACCCAGTCAGACCAACCTCACACCCATGATCGAGTGAACTTTGAAGGCCAAACGCCTCCTTCGGCTGACTGGATCCGTCTCCAGAAGTGCATGTATTAGCGCCTAGGACATGCATGGCTCCTTTGCTGGAAGAGGCCAAGGTGTTGATCCACATTTCAGAGGATGGGTTCGGTGGCATTTCTGATGTCAATGGCAATGGGCGCGAGTACCAATGGCGGCGGCCCATTCTGGGAAAATTGGCTCCTTACTCCATACACAAAGATGATTTTCTGTTATGCCGTTTTATTCAATACTTGGACGTTGATTCGTGCATACAGACCTGTGTTCAGAAAGTCAATTAAGTTTTCATATGGCTATACAGAATCAGAACCCTGAAAACTGAGAACTCGTCTTGGAAACGGCAAGTCATGGCATTCACACTGTCCATTTGTAGCAAGGTCTTAGGTACCAACGGTACAATGAAAGGGCCGCCAGACATGTCGAGCGTGATCAACCCCGAGGCCAAAGGTTCAGGCACAGACTCAAGTATCCACTGGCTGGTTACGTCTGTCTACCCAACGAAAACAGAGCAGAGCTCAGTTGACGATGTTGGCAGAGGTCAACCCACCACTTAGCAAGGTTGATGTTCTGAGCGCCCCACATGCAGACACACGGTTCAAAGTCATCCAGCTTTGCTTTTCTCATGCATCAAACTGTTTGCGTTGCCGGGGAAAACCTACAAGCGTCTCTGGCCAGGAACTTGCGGTCCGCAACGGCCCTTCGGCTCTCCGGCTGTAAGTCAGCATGGCAGGGGTGGATCTATAGAAGGAAGAACTAGAAGGGAACACAACACAGCCAGGTTGGTTAGGAGCTCCGCAAAATTGGCTAACAATCGTATCCATAACGGATCACTAAGAATGTCTCAGTGTCCATGCAGGCCGAAGAAAGTGGGCGATGATGGTGTGTGCTGGACCTTGCTACCAGCCTCCTGGACTTGTTTCTCCGTCGTCCAGCTGGAATTGTTCCTGCGTCGCGATTGTGGCAGTTCCGCATGCCTACTTAAATACCTCATGAACACGAGGACGTTTTGAGGCTAGGCTTATCCGGATATCTGGAGGGGCAGATAAACGAAATACTTTATTCTCCTTTGCTAAACCGCCCAGCAGCTTCTATTAGGCC